ATTATGGTTCAGCTTGGGAAGCAGCTGTTAGGAACTAGCGGGGGTTACATTTAAGTTTGCTGTTAAATACCATATAGAGAACTCTGTGGGTCTCTCAGAACTGCCTTGTTACTCAATTCAACTCAGTATATAAGCAGTTGATGCTCCAGCTTAATTTTTTGTAACAGAACCAAGTGCTTCAGCTTGGAAGTTTAACTTCAGTCTGCCAGCTCCATTTTCTTGCAAACTCGCCCGTTTGTCTCTCTGTCCCTCAAAAAGGAAAAATAAGTTCACGACACATGCTGGGTTATTGCTTTTGCTGTTCGCATTTACCTCTTTTTCCAAGCTATGTAAATCCTGAATTGCATAAATGAAAAAAAAAAAAAAAAAAAAAAAACTTTAGATTTAAAAATCTTTTAATTCACTTGTTTAACAGTATAGCGCAAGGTGTAGAGCTATGGATAAGTAGCATATTGACATACATTTTTTATTACTCCTTTCCAAATGAAGCAGTTTATAAATGAATGTGGATCTTACGTGTCAGTTCAGTGCAGTGTCCGACTTTGCAAAGAAAACAGTTGCATCATTTCTCTTTCTGTACATGGAATTCCACTGGCTTCCATTCTTTCAGCAAGAAGATTTGAGGTTTCTCCATGAAGTAATTTTTTGCCAGCTCTGTACTGTTTACATGAAAACTTCTTTCCCCTTTCAGCTGGCTGGGCCAAAAATGCAAGTGATTAAACAAAGGAAAATCAAAAACATTTTTCTCCAGATAGAGTTGGGAGCTGGAGTTTCAGTGTAACCCTTTGTTTCTCTTTAAGCTGAATAGTAAGGAAAACTTGGTTTGTCTTCTAAAAGTTGCATCCAAATATATTTGTTTTATTATGTGAAACCAGCTGTCCTCCGCTTAACACTGGTACATATTACAAGAATTTGGTGAGTCCTTCAAAGTCCTAACTGCACTGTACTGTTGTCTTTATTTACCATTAACCATGAAGATCTTTAGGCTGTGGAGCTGGCTGTGTCAGAAATTCACAACAGCTACCTTGCAAAGGTTATTTATAACCAAAGTGAGCACTAGCATGGGCTCCATAAGAGCTGAGCTGTTTTGCTTTGTCTTTAATCCTATTTCCCCTTGCTGATTTGAACTTTATCTTAAACACGCTACAGACACACGTAGCTTTTTCTCTTCCCAGGCTTTTAAATTACATAGGATTCTTGGGAATAGGGAAAACCTTAAGAGACATCACTTAAAAACATCAAGAATTCCCTCGTCCCGGGCCTCATTCCTGCATTTACAATTTGTTTACTAATTTTAACCTTTGCTTCATTAATGCCATTTCTCAACGAGTATAACTCTGCATGAGTTCCAGGCTTAGCTTTACACCTGTGTGCCTTTCTGTTACTCACATTTCATCCAGATGCTTCCTTCATGCCGTGAAAATACAAAGGAATCTATTGTTGAGAGAGCTTGTAGGCTCCATATGTGCTAATAAAGGTTTTGAGAGGTTTGGAAAATATAATGCAGTGTTAGGTTTTTAAGATTCAGGAATCTGAGTTGCATAATCAAACTTCCTTGGGCATACTTGTTTAAGTTTCCTTTCATAATAGCTGATAGTGATAGTCCACAAGGATTATTCCTGCTGTTGAGTTGAAGTGTGGTTTTAAGATTAATTTAGGACAAAGGTGAGTATGGGGAGAGAGAAATTGCAATAATATTTATTTTACTGCCGTTTTTCATGGATTTAGCACAATTTCCACTGAGATACAAGCTATTCACAAAACAGTTGCTAAATAAATCTCCCAGTGAGACACGGATGAAACTCTAGAGCACTAATGTTTCCATTCACATCAATGAGATGTGTGGTGTGTTGGCCATCTGTTATATAAAACTGAATAGGATCTGAAGTCCTTACACCAAAGACCTGATTTTTTTATGCCATCGCTTTTATGGAGGTGTGCCATAAAAATGGCCATGTGCCGGCAACCTGTGCAACGGGACCCCTTTAAATCCATGTCAAAGCGATGACATTTCGAGCACCTCAGCATCTCTTAAAATTAAAACAGCTAATTGCATTAAGGTCTGTGTGTTGAAGAGATTATACTCTTGCTTAGGGTTTGTTTTTTTTTTCCTCCCATCTGTAATATCCCTAATGGGGTCCGCAGCTGGGAGAACAACAGCGTGCACAACAGACTGCCTCGCGATTGGCAAGCCAACTGGAAGGAACACCAAGACCCACAAGGATTGCTGGACCCGGAGGGCTTTCAGCTTGAGAACAACGAGCTAATTAAAGTCTAAATAAACGCAATGTCCTTCTAGCTTAAGTAAAGATAAATAAATAAGTGCCTGCGTGTTGTTCCAAGGGGGCTGAATAAAGACCAAAATACTTGTGTGTCATGTTTACCTTGCAACATCTCCTTAATTGTGGAAGGTCTGTGAGCAAACCTATGGTTCCTGCTGGTTTCTAATCTGTTGTTTTAATAGGTGGGGTTCAGCAAAGGTAATAAAATATCCATTTTCTTTGTTTAAAGCTCAGCACTTGCTGAAGTGCTGTGCCGAAGTGGGACCTAAAAGGAGTCTCATTTCGGAAGGACCGAGCAGTTGCGGTTCTCAGCTCAGCCAGAGCTTGAGGATCCTCGAGAAATAGGTTCCCAGATAGAAATCTGACTCTCTCTAGGCACTCATTCAGTGAAGCTGTGGCCACTGAGCTAGGTCTGGGCTTTAACATCTCCCATGCTCACAGATCAGGACAAGGAGTGCACGACTCTGTGAGGAGGCCGTCGAACTGCCAGAGGAAGCAGCAGAGGGGTGCAGTCAGCAGTGCTCGACCTAACATCTGCCAAAAAGTGTAATCTCACCCTTCAAAATGCAAAAGCTGAATAGAGTAGTTGTTTGATAACCTGTTGAAAATCTCGAAGTAACCTTTAAATGTAAAGATTCGTTTAATGAACTGAATATATAATAAATAACTAAACATTGCAATTCCTTTAGGAAAATGCTGTGGAGTGGAAAAACAAGTAAGAAATTGCATGCCTAGTCTAGGAAAACAAACAAACACAGCAGAATGAGCAGAGAGAATATGTATGGTTGTGTTTTTTTCCTGCTAGTTTTACTATCAGGAATGTAAAGGAAACATTTCTCTATCGTTATGTGCATGTAAAAATAACGAGTTTGAGAATGACTTCTCCAGCTCTGAGAGATCATAGCATTTTCCCGGTACCTTGATCCTCCTCTGCTCGTTTATTCAAAAATGAACCTGAGGTAAGTTTTTCCTGAGATGTCTAGCAGAATTTAGCATGGGAATAGCACATGCATAAACATGTCCTCATCGTGAAACGAGGCTGCAGTGTCTTAGCGAACTGCATAAAATCAGCCAGTGCTCGCTTCTGTTGTCAAGAGGCAGCAAAAGTAGTCCAAAAAGTGATTAATGGAATTTTTAATTCTGCTCAAAGCTCAGAAGAAATGCTTGGATGGAAGAAAAGAATGAGCTGGGCTGGGCTTGATTAAAAGACGAAAACAGGCCAAGAATCTCCTCGTAGATGGGCTGTGTGCAAGCTCTCCAGATTATTTAGTGAAAAGCAGGCTGAGTTCAGCCTTTGTCTCAATCATCTGACCTTAATCTATTGTGGGAGAAATTAGAAATCTGTCTTTTCAAATGAACTCAGCACACTGGCCAGCTTTTAACTCTGCTAACTGCGTTCTCCCTGGCTCCATGCTCTGCACAGTTTGCAGCTACTGCCTTGTTAGTTGTTCGTGCTGCAGTTGTCTGCTGCGCCACAGCAGATGCGGTGGTCCTACAGAAGGTCTGCTGCCTTTGTAAAGTTCATTGACACCCTGATGGACATCCAGATACCTTGCAAACACAGATGAGGAACCAATCCACAGCGTTGCTTACATGTGTCACAGCCTATGATTTATATAATATATAGACAGGAGGTGACTGAATACTGCAGTGCTTTGTAACCTTTCAGCATGCAAACTATGTGAACCCGGGAGAGTTTTAGTGCTGGAAATCCTCTGAATACTTCTAAACTCACATTGCAGCGTGAGAACCTGAAGAAATGCTCATTTTTGCTCTAAGTTTAAGGGACCACGGTTACATTTGTAGCTTCCTCTGGTTTCTGCTGAACATGGGAAAATCCTGAAGATATATTTGCCTGATAGTTATACAGCACAGGATAAAAATTTTGAATGAAATCCAGCCCATCTTGTGTCTCTGTGTTGTTTCATCCACCTAGATGTGTGATGAAGCAGTCTTCCTGAAGTACATACCTAGATTTTATACAGAACTGATAAACAGAGATAGGTTTCCCAAGTAAGATCCTGCCTGCTGTATTTTCAGCATCCAAGCTGGGAGGCTGAGGGTTTCCCTCTGGAGGCTATACAGGTACCTTCCTCCCCCTATGAGTTGTGTAGGCAAACATAAACACTCGGTGTACAAGGGCTTAAAACCAAGGTACAGACCCATGCCCTCAAGTGGGCTAGATCTGGTCACTTTATTTCAAAATAATAATAAAAATATTCACCCTGACATTTATTTTAATCGTACATTTTCATAACGATTTCTCCTTTCTAGAGCACAGCTGGGGAGGTTTTCACCAGAGGGGGATTTTCAGAAGTGAGGAATTGCGCCCAAAACAAAACCAACTTCAGTCAAAACAGATGTTTTTGCTCTAAGTGCCTGCTAGGTTAATGATGCTGCTGAGGGAACGGCTTCTTGCCTGCAGAGGGCATACAGCACCTCAGTTTTCTCTGCCAAAATATGTGTGGAGTAGGGAGAAGGAATGGACCACACATAAAAGCATCGCTGCATGTAATGAATCGCGGATACCCACGTTTAAACGGAGTACTGAAAGTGCAACTTCGGTGGAATAATTGAAGTGTTCACAAACATCTGCATGTCCCTCCACAAAAGTGAATCAATACTTTGCATACAACACCGAAGCCTCTCTGGGACATGCTGTGGGTACTTGTGCTCCTTAAAAATCATCTGTTTTCATTTGTGTCTCTCCATTTCCAGAGCTCCCAACACAGTGGCTCCTCTACCTCATTAGCATCCACCAAAGTTTGCAGCTCTATGGATGAAAATGATGGACCTGCAGAAGGTAACGTTCGAGGGCTGACATTTCAAAGCAGTCGATGTAGTGATAACAGCAGCTGTGTAGGAAATGAGTCATTCTTCCTGCCGGAGAAAGTGGGAGCAGTGCAGGCTGGATGACTCTCGGCTCGGAGGCTCGACAGCCTTGGCAGAGCAGCTCAGGTTCACTCCGGATCACATCTGATCTGGACATCCCTGCTCCGAGGTGTCTCTGTTGCAGGATGCTCTAGTTCCACAGGTGACCCAGCGCTTGCTGGGTTATTTCACCGATGTTTTCTCTCATCTGTCACAAAACCAAAGAGCATGCAACGATTTGGGGTCTTTGCTGAGTGATAACTTGTCTCACCCCATAGTAAGGCTTTGAACGAGGTGGCTGAGCGATAATGTCTGCTCTAACACTGCCAGTTCACACGCACGTATACCTAAGTGTGGATGTATGGCCTTGTCCGATAGTAACTCCTCATACTGCCTATGGATTCAGGCAAACCCCAGCCCCCATGTGTCATAACATTCGCTTTTAATACTAAACTGGAACAAAGGACCGATAAAGATACGATACAGTTAGAAAGCATTGTCTTAGTGAAAATTTCTGAGGTGCATTTTTCATTATAATATTTGTATAGTAGCTTGTATCAGCTGCAGTTTACAGTTGGCTTTTAGAGGCATGTTAGGTATTTGTAACACGCTATTTCAAATACATTTAAAAATAATGGTACATGAATGAGCACTAAAACACATGAAACTACAAACTTTTCTTATGCTTAGACACTGTGTAATGCAATTTTACCTAAACATCTGGTGCCCAGGTTGCATGTGAGGTAGTATTATTGAGAACATTTGTTTAAAAACTAAATATTTAATATTGGGGGAGGGGGAGAACTAGCACTTAGCACATGAGGAGTTTTATGGATGTCTCAGTTTACAGGATGTAATAAAATAAGTGCTTGAGTGTTGGACTTCTTTGGTACATATATTTAATCATGCTGTGTCAAGGAGTTCCAACCCTTTTTGGAGGCTGGTCTGCGCTTGTGCAGTTCACAGAGGCCTTTTCATAATTAAAAAAATACAATTTTGGTTTTGTCCTGGGGGCATATTGCAATGGGAATGGTAAACTATGTAACACTCGAATGGTGGTATGTTTGAGCCCCCAGAAGTCTTATTTTTCATTATTGTATCTGTGTGAAACCTGTTGAGTATATACAATGTCAGCAGCATGGTTTCACTGTACAGTAAGTGAGATACTGACTCTGAATGGTTTCCAGGCTCCTAAACCATAGACTTAAAATGCATGTTATGTGCAACATCTGTGTTTCCTTCACTAACAATAAAAATGTACTAATGATTCTTTCAGAAGTGTTGGAGGAAGGTTTCCAGGTTCCAGCATCGATAGCAGAGCGATATAAAGTTGGAAGGACTATAGGAGATGGAAATTTTGCTATTGTGAAGGAGTGTATAGAAAGGTGAGAAGGATAATTTGCTTATTACTGTAAAAGAAATCATTAATGCCATGCTTTTTCTAGATCATGTCTTTCTTTGTAGAATATAGGACATATGGAATAAGGTAATGTCTCAATGCCAGATGGAAAAAGTAGACTAATGCTCTCTCATGTGAAAATAGAGCACATCCAAAGTCCAAGGGACAATCTATGACTTTAATTCTTTGTGGGGTTTGTGTTTTTTTTTTCTGCTGCACAGAGCATGATTTTACCAGTTCTTTGTATCTTTCCTCTTGCACTGAAATAACATCTTTTCTTGTGGTGTGTTCTTCCAACTTGCCATTTGCATTGCACCAGTTAATTATTTTACATCTAGGAGCATTCATAAAGATTTCAGAAAGTTTTGTGTGTGGCACAGTGATTACGGAAAGCACAAAAAGATGGCTTCAGATCCATCTATTCTTCCATCTGACACTGTGGAGTACTTCTTCCATGTTTATCTTTAATAAAATGTGAATCTGTCTCCTGCTTGCTTTGTACCATTGCATGAGCTCCATCTAACTTTAGGAGTCTGCACTGTGGACATCAACATCTAACTTCCTCAGTGCCCTGTGCAGGCAAAAGGGGAGAACAGTCACCCTTGAAGACAGACTAATTTTAGACATCTGCTCTAGGTTAGAGAAGTCACAAGTCACCTCTCACATCTGTGTTGCTGAAAGTGTCCAGGTTGACCAGCTTAGATGTCAGTTACTAAATATATTAAGATGAGTCTTGCCCACCGTGTTTGAACTGGATGAACCCAGCACTTAGAGTGTAAAGTAGAAGAGAACAGAAGACGGAAATGCTGAGTAGAACTGCAGGTGCTTCTTGTTGGTATTGTTAAAACATTGGAGAATATGGGGTAAAAAAGTCAGAAGATGCCTGTATGTGAAAAGATTTTAAGATTGTTCATGTTAGATGGCAGTAGTATATGAAAGGCAAAAAAAAAAAAAAAAAGAAAAAAAAGCCACAGCTGGAGATACCCAAAAGAAAAAAACAATAGAGATGTCAAAATCTGATAATGAAATTCCATGAATGAATTTTTATTTCCAGTATTATCATATCCTAGGCTTACAGAAGACTGTAGACTCACCTTTAGGCTCAAAGAAAAAATACTTTTGCTCTTCAGCCTATAAGAACGTGATTTTAATCCTAGAGACTAAGTCAAGAATAGATCTCATGGCAGATGATGATAAATTAGCTTGGCTGGTTTAAATGTGAATCTCCTTGGAAAAAGACAGGTCCCACTTTGGATCTGACAGTGTCTGGCAATTTGGAGACGATTAAGGCAGCTGCTGGGGAAGGGGGAAGAGGGAAGAGTGAATTTTGTATTGGCTGACGGTGTACTTGTGGGACTTGGCCCACGCTGTTGTGAGGCCTTCAGAGCTCTTCCAGAGGGAGTTCGTGGTGGAGCTGGTTGTGCAGAGGGCAGTAGCTGTTCAGATCAAACTCTAGGGTCTGAATGCTGGACTGGAGAATATGGAAGCCTAAGGGAAGCAAAGCAAAGCAATATGATATTAAGAAAGCATGATACTGCCCTACGGGAGAGAGATGAACTGATGGAAAGCATGAGTGAACATCTCACTAAGAAAAGAGAAAAAGGAAAGTGGAAAGTGAAGTGAGTACTGACTGAGAGAACAGGGTTACAGGGCAGAATAATCCTTCGTGGTTTGGATACACTGGCATTCAGAGGAAAATGTTGGCTGTGCTGAGAGCTAGTTTGAATGGACCAGTGTGCATTACCACCATTTCCCAAGCTGAGAGAAAAGACATGAGTAATATTAAATATAGGTCCCACCACAACTAAAAATAATACTGATTGTAATATACTAGGGAGCTTAAATGAAATCTGTTTCCTGCCCTCTTGTGTATCCTCCCAGTCCCTGAAGTATCTAGTACCACGGCGTATTTAGTGAATATCCACTAAGCTAGCATGATTACTTAGATATTCCCAAATAAATACTCTTATTGTTTCTGAGCCATACCATACTGCAGATCCCTTGTATATCAGAGAGTTACTACACCGAGAAAGCTTGAACATTAAAACAAAATATAATTATTTCTGTTATTTTCCATTTCCAAAGCGGGATACTTCTGCCATCACAAGTGTGGAGGGTGAAATTAAAGGCTCAGAGGGTAAATTAAAGCCAGTATGTGTAAAACACCTTCAAAAACTTTCTTCACGGTCTTTCTAAGCAAAAAACACCTCACTTCAAAGTCTGATATGTCCATCATTAGCAGAGCCAGAATTGATGGGGTGATACCTGGGACAGAGGACTTTTCCACTTGCTATTGACGTTCAATTCCTCTGTGCATGAGACTTCAAAGGAATAGTGCCGTGAGGTGTTAAGCAACTAGGAATGCTTCTTGTTATACATCTTCACTGATCACATGGATATATCTTCTCCATAGCTCCACACTTCAAATGCGTTCACAGGCGTTTTCCTCTGACAATGAACAGTATGAATAGAAACTAAAAATGATCTTCAAAATTTTCATGCGGGGACATCCAGATTCCATTCCAGGCATTCTTTGCACTCCTGAAGGTGCACACACACACAAACAAAAGTAACGTGCACACAGAAGTAATAAAGGTTGATTTTTGACTCAAGCACAGCAGAAATCACAGTGAACTTTGCAAAAGGTTAAAGCAGATGGAGAGTGTGGCCCAGAGCCCCATTGCGAACTGGAGGTCTGATGCTGTACCCTGTGCTAGTGCTGTGGTTCCAGACTTTAATCCCGCAGTAATGTTTCCTACTTCATGTGGCACCTTTTTATTGTTCAGTTTAAGTGGTAGGTGAGAGGTGATATGCCTATTTCGCTGTGGCTTTCTGGCACTGCCATGCATATTTTTGGTGGGTCTGTAACTTACAGAGGTTCCTGAGCTGCTGACAGCCTGCGGTTCTGCAGCTTTTTAGGGGAAAGGATTTGCATTATCTTTGCTTTAATTTTCTTTTTGCCAAAACAAAGAGCAGTCAGAGTTGTCATCTGCTCATTACGTATCTGCTCCATCATATGCGCAATTTGTACTGTGGTGTTTTCATATGTGTTCATTTTTAACTTTCAGATACTTCCAAATTCTGACATTTCCTCACTAGCTCATATTTCTCAGTGTTTTCGAGTACATGGAGTCTCCCATGGCCAACAAAAACCATCAATTTCCTTTCTCATGACAGAAAGGAAGCATTCCTAGGGCAACCAAGGAGCTTGAAAGACACTCCTGCTGAAAGAGAGTGTGTTTTGTCTGAATTTGGACCCCAGATATCTTAATTTCTAATATTCCTTCTCCTACCTCCCCTTTTCATTCCCCAAAACATGGTGTTGATAACTCTGCCTGTCCTCTCACTGTGCTGGGTCTGTAGCCACCAAGCATCAACATGTGGAGTGTGCCCCATTTCTGGGGGCTGTAGCATTAAGCCCTCTGTCAGGGAAGTACAGATAGGAAAAGTTTTAAATTTTTCTTTGCTTAAGCCTTGAACATCCATGTTTTCCAAGCTGTAAGCATTGGCATCATCTTTTAATTGATGTCTTAATACAGTCTGTCCTGACCCTCCCTGCTGACCTGTGAACTTGAAGTGAAGTAATAGGCTTGTTTTTTTATTCTTTCTGCTAATGTCCTCATGGCCCTTAAATTAATACCTACTGGTACATCATTGCCAGAAGATATCTGTATGCTTAAATATGGCAATGAAAATGCCCAGTCATTTTAGTAATGCAGTGCTTTCAGCTTAGGACTCACTCTGCATGTCCTGCTTAACCTCTAGGCATATTCATTTCTTCATTTAACCTACATGTACATATCAATTTAATGGATCAATTTAACTATTTTTTTGCTAAATGAAGAATGAAAAATCATGAAGTCACAGAATGCTTTGGATTAGAAGCACTTTGATGACTACCTAGTTCCAACCCCCTTCCATGGGTAGGGACACCTCCCATTAGACCATGTTGCCCAAAGCCACATCCAGCCTGGCTTTGGACACCTCCAGGAATGGGGCAACCACAGCTTCTTGTGGTAACCCATTCCAGTGCCTCACCACCCTCACAGTAAAGAATTTCTTCCTGATGTCCAATGTAAATCTCCCCTCTTCAAGTTTAAACCCCTTGTCCAGTTGCTACACTGCCTGATAAATATGCTTGGGGGGTATTTTTTTTAAATCCAAATATATGCCTAAGGCCTTATGTAAATTGTTTAGATTTTAATTACATGCCAAAATTTTACTTTTTAGTAAAATTTCTCCTATATTGCTCATTTTCCATTTAACCTAATAGTAAAATTAGAACTTGGGACCAGAGCTTCTTGGTTTCATCCTTGCGGCCTTCTTTTGATTTTATAATTTGATTAAGAAATGGAAGTTGATCTTGTGAACTTGTCTATAGGCTTTGTTTTCTATTTTAATATTCTATAATAAATATCTATATATGTAATACTGATAAATATTTTATGGTTTCCAAAAAATAATTTAAAGAAACACCCAAAAGGAAATGTGTCCTGAAACTGAATTAATTTTCTATGATTTCTTAATGTCTCCAGAACTGTTCACACTCTATCCCATAAACATCTTATTTCATTCTGCTAGATACATATTTACAGAATATGCAGAATGTTATTGCAAGGTGACCAAGAGTGACTTTTTTGTCTTAGCAGTTGTGCGTGCAGATGTATAGGTATTTTCCACAGCTCATATTTTGTTTTATGGAAAACAAAACTTTTAATTCTTAAGAAGATTGGGATCTCTAAATACTGTGTTGGGTTTTGTATAAAACTGCGGAAAAAAGATTAAATAAAATCACTATAAAATCACAAATAAAACCACTATAAAATGAAAAAAAAAATACTTTGTTTTGAAAACACTGAAATATCTTTATTAAAAAAAAATGCTTTTTTTCTCAGGTGGACATATTTAATAAATTTGGCTCAAGTTTACAATTTCAGATAAATTTAAACGTTTCTTGACAAAATGAGTACTTGAACATAATTCCTGCCTAGAACATAAGTCTTACCAATCATTAATAATGTACTCAAATGACAAATAGAAACTGAACTGAGAAAAATAGAGAAAAATATTCAATGTAATTGAACGTACATTTTTTTCTTTCCTCAGGTCAACTGGTAGAGAATATGCTCTGAAAATAATCAAAAAAAGTAAATGCAGAGGAAAAGTAAGTACAAAAATTCAAATGTGAGCAAAATGGTTTTTTTTGTTGTTTGTTTGTTTTTTTTTTTCAAGAAACATTTTATGGGAGATCCATTTGGGAAGCTGTTATATTTATCTTCTGCCTGACAAGTGTTACAACCTTTTTGACTGAAGTCTTTGCCTGTCCCCTTGAGACCCGTGGAGTATCAGGATAAAAGGTTACAAAATGCCTTTCAAGATGCATGGGTTGATTCTGCATTTGGTTGGTTGTGTGTAGGTATGTGCGCTCCCCTTGTCTGTAATTATCTTAGAACCATAGAATCATTTACGTTGGAAAAGACCTCTAAGATCGTCTAGTCCAACCATTAACATTGCACTGCCAAGTCACCCACTAAACCATGTCCCCAAGCTCCCAAGCTCCATGTCCAACCTTTCCTTGAACACCCCTGGGGACAGTGACTCCACCACCCTGGGCAACCCGTCCCAGTGTCTGACTGCACTTTCTGAGGAGAAATGTCTCCTCATGTCCATTCCCTCTAGTCCTGTCACTAGTTACCTGTGAGAGTCCTATCACTAGTTACCTGGGGAGATGACCCCCAGCTCCCCACATCTTCCTTTCAGGTAGTTGTAGAAAGCAATGAGGTCTCCCCTGAGCCTCCTGTTCTCCAGACTAAACAACTCCAGTGCCCTCAGCCGTTCCTTACAGGCCTTGTGCTCCAGGCCCTTCACCAGCTTCGTAGCTCTGCTCTGGACACGCTCCAGGGCCTCAATGTCCTTCTTGTAGCGAGGGGCCCAAAGCTGAACACAGCACTCGAGGTGCGGCCTCACCAGAGCTGAGTGCAGGGGGACAATCACCTCCCTAGCCCTGCTGGTCACAGTGTTTCTGATACAAGCCAGGATGCCGTTGGCCTTCTGGCCACCTGGGCACACTGCTGGCTCATACTCAGCCAGATACTGACCAATACCTCCAGGTCCTTTTCTGACAGGAAGTTTTCCAGCCACTCTTCCCTCAGCCTGTGAATGTGCATCCAGCTTTTATACTCCCAATACTGACAGTGAAGAAACCATATAGTACAGAGTGTAGGTTTGTGCAGGAACTGTGGGCCATAAACCAAATAACTAAAGACATACACCCAATGGTACCTCACCCTAATACTCCAATTGAGACAATATCTGAGGAGGATTCTTTTTTTCAGTATTACGTCTCCTATCTTTCATAATCCCAGATGTCATAGAAAAAAAATAATATAGCAACACCAGTCATTGAGTCTAATCAGTATCATCAGGTTAATCAAGTTGATGTCAGTTTTATACAAAATGAATTTCTGTTACTTTTAAAATTTTTATAACAAAAGATTCTCTCAGAAGATGTGATTAGTAAATGGAAAAAAGATTTAAAAGCTTCCATATTAAATTTTTCTCTGTGTTGGAAATACATCTTTTCCTGCCTTTCTTTTTGGGTGTTCTATTCTCTGTTCTTTTTTCAGTTATCATACTGATGTTGTTTCTAGTCTTGTTTCTTCTATATTGCCTTTTTTTTAAAATCCTGAATAATCCATGTAGGTCTCAATTCTCTCTGCATTTGGAAAATGTACATGGAAGTGAAAGTTTTTCCCACCAATCCATAGTCATTAAAGATTTCTTTTGTGTGGCAGGAACACATGATACAGAATGAGGTATCTATTCTAAGACGAGTCAAGCATCCCAATATTGTACTTCTGATTGAGGAGATGGACATGCCAACCGAGTTGTACCTTGTCATGGAACTTGTAAAGGTGAGTATTTTGGAGTTAAGCTCCTTATTAAGAACTTTTTCAACCATATTCAGAAATCACATTGGTACTAGAGCTTACTAATCATCATATAATCCTAGAATAATTAAAACGGTTGGGTCTTGTCTAGCACTCTACTGAAAGATGTGTAACCTGCACTCAAATGCTCCTTATAACTTTCAAATAAATACTCATCTAGCTTGCTGTAAAGCCCCCTCAGAAGAGCTCTATGGATAGTACTTTGGACATGACCAGTTTTATTTGCTCCTCCAGAAGATTTCTCTTTTAAAAGTTTTCTCTTAAACGGAAGGCATCTGCCTGGAGGTGAACTGAAAGGCCCCCCACTTTGTATAGGTATAAATACCAGCTTTCAAAATTCAATATTCTTTGAAAAAATTAGAGTTTAATTACATCTTACTAATTTATATTAAATTTAAACAATATTACTTGTCTCTTTACTGGTTTATATTAATGCACTGTCAGATAATAACCTAGATTTCAGCTGGAGGAGAGGGGAAGTGAAAGAGGAGAACCTGCTATTTCAAGCATGGCTCTGTTCTGAAAACAAACTTTGCAAATGCAGTATTTATATTTGGAGCCCTATTTATTCCTTCATTGTAACTTCCAGATCTCATGCATTTATTTTGTTCTCTGATAGAATTACATATTCAAAATGGATTATGAAATTCAGACCAGGTCATCTCTTGTCCCCATACTGTCAACAAGACAGTGTATGAAGTCTGAATTTAGCTCTTGGTTCTGGTACTAATACACAAGTATGTCATTCTGCATAAAAGGTGGTAAAATACTTCTGAGTAAATTATCCAAATGAGGACAGAAAGTCACTGAGGACATTTTGTCCTCCATATTTATTGTAACAGAATACACCTGTTTTTCACATTCATTATGAAATCAGCAATTCTTCTTCCTTCCTCAGCTCTTCTGCAAAAAGGAAATTCCAGCAGCCACCTCCAGACCTGTATCTTGACCAGCAAGTTCTCCTGAGGCAGTCTCTCAGGTCTATACCTGGGAAATCCACTGATTTAAGTGTTTAAGGACAAATATTATAGTAAGGAAACCTTGGCTGTGCAGCAGCATTTAAACACAGGCCTATTGTATGTGGATTCTCAACACTTAAGAGCAAATCAGCCACTTAGATCACTTCCACTTAAAAGCGTGGTCACCTTCAGTAGGCATCCTCTGTATCTGTCGTGAAAAACAGTCACCATCAGGCTGTCAAGTGGGTGGATGGCCACAGATTCTCCTTGTCCCTACAGCAGGCTGAGACAGCCTTGCTGTCCCTGGGAAGCTCAGGTTATGCCCTGAGATGGCAGCATTGCCCTTAGAGGTTTGAGCCTTCCAGACACCTACTTGGCTGGAGTGGTGCTGTGGAGCTTATGGTCTAGCTAACCTTGGTGTCCACCACCTCCAAGCCCTGAGGAAGCACACAGGGACATGGTGGTGACAAGGAACTGACAGGCTACTCGTCATCCTCATTTAGTCTCTGATGGAGAAGTTAAATCCCAAGAAAAAAAAAAGCAAAATGCTCACACTCTTCCACTCTGTAGCCAGTCCCAGAAGAATATTCCCACCTTCTTCATAGTCACAGTCCTCTCATGGACTTGTGAGTGCAATGTGAAATAGCACAGCTTTAGATCAGATGCCATTAACCATCTAACACTATTTTAATCATAATTATTGCTCTTTTATGTGGTAAATGAGCTTGCTGAGATACATGCTACTGTAGGCTTTCTGCAGTGCCCGTGATAGCTTGTTCAAAGGTACCTCAAGTACTCTTGCACAACATTGTAATCTAGCGTAGCCACCACTTCAGCCTCTATTGATCAATCCTTCATCTTGGCCCCATGAGGTGTGCTAAGAAGTAAAAGCTGTGCCTTGTCTAACATGCCAAGACTTACGCACATAGCTGGTTTTATGGGTGCAACCTGCTGTGCTATTCATGCTTGAAAAATGTTCAAACTGTAGTCTCCAGTGAATTTTTAATCAAAGTCCTCCTCAGCTAAATAAGAGAGGAGGAGACCAGAAACTCTTGCAAAATAACTAGCCTAAAAGATTTATATAAAGAAAACCATTCATCACTTTCTGGAAAAAATCTGTTTTCTTGCACTCTTTCTTCTTTACTCTTCAGGGTTGCTGAAAATAGTATGATATTTATGGTTTTAGTTATGCAATAGAAGGGCTTTGTAGACATCTTTATAGTTCAGATATCCTAGAGAGCACTGTTTTTATGCTCTATACTTTTATGTTGAATAATAGAAGAAATTTGGAAGAAATATCCTGGTCCTGGGAAGTTAACTTTGTTTCTTTGAAGCAAACATCTATTGCTTAATATTTAATTGGGGAAAGAAAAAAAGAAAAAAACACACAAAAGACTTGTTAGGCTCTGTGGGCACCAGGGAAGGTATTTCTGGAAAGACATTAATTGTTAATTCACCAATTGCTGACTGTTACCATTTCATAGTATGCACTGTTAGAATTGATTAACCATCTGTTATTGACTGACTTTTGAAGACCTGAGTTTAAATCAAACTCACAGACAGGAAAGAAATTCAAGGAGAAAAGGCTTGATACTGCAGAGCACGGTTTCAGTTAATACCACCCTGCATTAATTGGCAGTAACATGCTTGACATAAGTGGCTGCTGCAAATACTGCCCTCACCTCATGGCAGATAGACCATTCATTGCTTTGTAAAGTGTAAGAAAAAGCACTTCATAAATACAAATATAAACACATTGCAAGTGGTGCTTGTAAAAGGAAGCAAGGACCTGGCTTCTGGCACATTGCCTTTTTACACAGCGAAACAAAATTGTTATTCAAACCTAACAGGAGTTTGGCCAATTTAACAGGCAAGATTTATTACAGAGTTTCTTTTACTGCTCCAGGATATGATTTCACTTTTGCAGAAGAAAAGAGAGATTATATCATTTACATAACAAGGTAATAAATAAATAATTGGTTACTGTACTTCCAAGTATACTTCCTCATGTGCGCAGATGATAAAAACTGCATTCAGATGTTGCTGGTCTGATTTCACTCCCAAACAGGGGATTTAAGGCTGAAATGTCATCCTGAACTCACCCCTTGTGCCTGAATAAATGATAGGGACCCGCTGTGTGAATCAGCTAAGCAGAACCTTGCAGGGTAAAGTGCTCTTCAGGGACGGGGAAGTCTGAAAACCATTCTGTCTGATATAGCTGTCAGCTGCATTAACTCTTTCCAGGATATCACCTCTCTTTTGGCTGCAGAGTCTCACGGATGGAATATACGCTCTCTTTTCTTACCAGACTACTTGATGAGAAACTTTACCAAGTAGACAATTTACCTGGAGAAAATAATTGTACTTCAAATTGGCTCGGTGATCTGTTAACATATTCTACATCCTCTGCCTTCTCTGGAGTTTAGGTTCCCCTTGCACATAAACATTTGTTCTTTTTCTTCTGACTTCACGCTGAAGTTTCCCCTCCTCTTTTTATTTAAAGTTCAGTTTCTTTCCTTCTTGTCCCTCACATCTCAGCTCAGATTGTTTTCTTTGTTTGGAGGCAGATCCTTTGCTGATGTTATGGACACTTCTCTGGAGCATCTGGAGTATATTAGATAAGACCAAAGATCTGTCTAATCCACTACCTCATGTTAAAAAGCAGCTGGTATAGGGGCTTCACAGGAAGGAGCTTAGGGAAGACAGATTATTTATCCCACATATTTTGCCACATGCTGATATCTAATACTTAGGGATCAGGTAATGCCATGAAGTACATGATATTGTACTTTTGCCAAATATTTGGCTTTTCTCTGTAATCCTCTATCTGGTTTAGCTTGGCCTTTTCTTCCTCCTTTTCCTTGACACTGTGTTCCTTGACGTATCTTGATCAGTCACCAACCAGAGCAGGAGGTTCTGATGTGGTCCAGATTTGACATCGATTGGCTGCAAGCAGTTTCCAAAGCTGGAGTTCTGCATCTACAGTGGGAATAAACCTGCACAGGCAGACTTCAGCTGCATCTCAACAATGCCGTTTTTTAAATACTTTTGAGTCTGTCTTGTTTTATTTTTAAGTAGTGGCTGTTTTCTCAGGTTTAAGCCTTTGGTGGTTGCCATTTCCTACTATTTTCTAAATATACACGATTGATTTCTGGAAAAAAAATGTCTCTCCCCTCTCCTTCTTTCTCTGAGTGAAAACAGTGTTTATTACATTGCAGTAGAGCCTTAAAAACAAACAAACAAACAAACAAAAAACCAAAACACTAAATAACTTAAGGCTGTTGATAAAATGAGAGTTTGCAAAGCTGGGACACCTCTGTTGCCTTCAGAAAAATACCTACTTTTTCTTTAACCAACAGTTAAAGAAAACAGCAGTTTTCTGTGATGTATTTTTTATCCCAATGTGACTGCAGTACAGTTTTTTGTGTTGCTTTTGCAAAATTATCCTTTCCTTATTCTTTTTGGTGGTGGTGGTGGTGGTCCTCTGTGGTACTGCTTGGGTTTTGAGCAAAGGCCAGAAGTAGTCTTCCTTAATAAGTGTTTGTTTCTTCCTCTGTTCTGTATAGCTTCCTTCTTAATCTCTACTTTAAACTTTTTTTTTTTTTTTTAAGTCTTTCTCCAAACACTTACATGTTCTTCTTCCCACTTGCCAGCTCAGCTCTGGCAATACAATCCAAATGTGCTGGCTGCCCCTGGTCCTGTTGAAGATCATTTCAACTTTAAGGATTTCCACTTAATGTTCCTTCATTTCTTCTTTTTTTTTCTCTCTCTTTAATTTCACTGACAGTAGCTATAAACTGAATTAGACAGCGTGATCTCTTGGAAATGGCACAGTGCCAGATGTTTTTGTAGCTAAGGTGAAATAATAATGTTAATTCTAAAGTGTCTTCCAGAAGGATTTTGAAATATATATATGAGAGAGCATTAGCTTCAGTATTACCCATATGTGCTTCATTAGCTACATTCACCTACCCATATTAGGTGCAAGAAGAGCATCTTACTACCAAAAATGTCACATGTTGTGTAGAGAAAATGCTTTCTAAAATCTAAATATTCAAAGTTTTATGATATGGAAACAGTCTTTTAAAATAGGCTAGCAGTAATGACAGGTAGCTGTTTTGAGTTTTATTCAGAATTTCTTCATCTTTCTGGTATTCGGTCAGACTTAGACAAATATTTGATGTCAGCCTGTTTGTAATTATAATAGAGCAGCAAGGGTTGGTACGCAGAACCATGACAGGCAAGTATGTAAGCATGCCAGAAATTTGCAACAGGGGCTCTGAACACGCAGGTTGGCAAGTGCTGGACATATTACAAAAGCAGCAGCAGGTGGGAATGGTTTGCAGAGGAGACTCCAGCCTCCTGGCTGACCAACTAAGCCAAGACAAATGGTACTGAGTTAGTGATATGTTCAGCTGCCATCATGGGGGATGTAAGCACATTGCCCAAACATTATAGTAGTTTTCTGCACGGAAACTACTGGTCCTCCTGCCTCGTTCTTCTCTGTAAATCATGCTCCTTGATGTTACCTAAATTATTTCAGTCATTTCACAAGTAATGTTGCTTACATGCCGTGGTCATTTTGCTCCAGGGAGGAGATCTGTTTGATGCTATTACTTCCACCAACAAATACACAGAGCGGGATGCCAGTGGGATGCTTTACAATCTGGCCAGTGCTATCAAATATCTTCACAGCCTGAACATTGTCCACAGAGATATCAAGCCGGAGAATCTCCTGGTAAGTGAAATTTCAGCTTCCAGTGTTGATAACTTGGGAGTGTGTGAGAGAAGGTCTGTGCTTCTCCCTCCTTACAGACACACCCCAAGTTTTTTCAGTCTTTTAAGTCATTTAGTTTTAATCTTAGCATTGTGAGGCTCTCTTAAGATTAATAGCTATTACGAAGAAGGCAGTAACATCAGCTGGTATGTCCAGACTACTCACCAGGATGCAGCGACAGAATTGTTCCAGTGATCGCTAGAAGTGACCTTTTAGTGAGCTACAGTGTAATTTCAAATTTCTCATAAATACAAAGGTATTGTGTCCTCGATAGGCGACTCCATATTGCAGCTGCTTATGCAATTAGCAGCAGTTTAGTTTTACAAAAATTGTATAAATGTTGCATCCAAATCATGTAGCATGTCAGAGCAGAACCAGCAAGAGACTTCTGAGTCCTTCTCTCTCTGCTGGGCCTCACAGATAGTCCTACAGAACTTTTTATTAAGACACTTTCCTAAACAAACATCCTAAATTTTCCTTTTCATGATTTAATGTATATGAACACTATCCACTGAAGACAGTGAAAAAAAACCACCCTGACAATTAGTCCTTCTTCTGGGGATTTTGTGCTCTTAAATGCAGCAGTTGTGTTCCCCCAACTGACTTGATTTCATTTCTTCTGATAAATTGATTTATTCTGATTGTTATTTCACTGTTCTCTGAGTTTTCCCAGTTTGCTGACATGTTCCAGTATGAAGATGTCCCAATCTTCCGTACATTCTGCAACCATAAAACAGTGTTCAAGATATGTAGAATATCAGTCCTCTCATGTATTTAGTACTGCTTGACACTGAAGAGGTTTTATGGGAAAGTCGACTCCAGTTGATCTTGCCAAACTTCCAGGGAACAGTAGTTTTACCATTGAGTTTTGTCTAGTGGTAGATGCCTTAATAATTCTGGGTGATGAAGTAGCCTGGACCAATCTTCCAGAAACTGCTTAAAACATGTTGGGCAGAAGTTTAATTAGAAACCAATGATTGATATTTCTTTAGCAGCCCTTGCTGTTCGAAAGTAGCAGCATGCAGAAGTAACAGCAATCACATGTCAAGATTCACTTTGATTTGGGATGTACAGTAGTGTCTTGGTCTGGGCAAAGACTTGGCCAGCTTTTGACTTGAGATGTGTCTGAATGCCTGGCATCAGTAGGATGAAGCTTTTGGGGGAAGAGAGGAAAGTTGTCAGGAGGTGGGGGCAACTGGAAGAGGATTCAATCTGCCTGCCCAGCCATCTCCGGTAATACCCGCTACCAGATTTCCTTTTGCATTGCAGACAAATTGTTTCTGAGTGATTTTTCCAGTGTCATATGTATATAGAGGTCATACATTGCTATTGATACTGAGCTGTGAGTATGCAGCAACGTAATCCTCAAAAGCCAGCGTTTGACTAACAAATTATATTAATTCTCTAAGATTTATCAGATCTTTGAAATAAGTGAACACTGTCTTAGAAGAGAGCTTTTGAACCAATCTTATATGGGTTCTGACCCTATTCATGGCCTTAGGTACCTCCTAGGTACCTTCTACTTTGATAGTTCCTTATATCATCAGATTGCAATTAAGGTTATTTTCTTGGCTTTTATAAAGCACTTATAAGCCTACCTAACAGTCAAATGTCTTAGACTTTAGGGTATGCTGAATCTCTGTGTTTTTGTTATCAACGTGCACATTTTTTGTTCTCTAGAGAGGGTATTCCATGTTTTAATTCGAACGTTTTTCATAATTGCTGCTATTTAGCACGTTTATTTTGTCAAGTCATGGGATGTCTTTATAGCCATATAATAAACCCTAGAGAACAACTTCTCTGACTGTTGCCATCTGCAGTGATCACAAGAGCAGCTTAGAAAATACTGACAGTCTTTATAGTAATAGGATACATATGGTGGCACACAATTATGTGTGGCTGCATTCAATTAGTGTTGTACAATTACACAGTTTTACTGCTTAGTTAAAACAGTGAAAGCACTACATAGTGGGTAATTTGCACTAATCCCCATTTCTTTAATTGCCCTTCCGTATTTAAATGCAGTAGAACATACATAGCATTTGTTCTGAATAACACGAGCATTAAATTATCTTTCACATTCCTTGACTGGCAAGTAATATACCACAGCTTCACATTGGGCTCCTTTTTATATGGAGTTATAACAGGGTGAGGAAAAGTTACTTTGTTCAATTTTACAAGTTAACTAAAGTAGTTTTCCAAGGAAAGTAATCCCTGGAAACAGATGGGGCAAAAATCAAGAAAATGCACAACTACCAAACCTTTTGCATCAGTAAATATTGCCAAACAAGCCTTTTCAGTAAAATTTTTTTAGCATATATCAGTCATAAAAGGTGTGGTCTGTTAATGGAGGAAATTTATAAATAATCACTAGGTCAACACAACTCAGAGAAGACTTTATAAAAGATAACTGCATGAAATAGAATAAAATGCTAATTAGACTGGATTCAGCTCTTGATGTCTAAATGAACACTTTACATTTTTCAGCAAGTGAATATTTAAAGTTGTAGTCTCTAGCCTTTAATTAAAACTGTTGTTGAAATTAGATTTATTACTGCCATTTCAGAGAGCACTTTCTTCAGTTTCAGGAACCAGATGTATTTAACAATCTGTGTTTTTAATAAAACCATAATTGCTTTTTTTCCAGTGGTATTCTATAAGCCTATCTTTCTTGTGGCTTAGCAGAAGAGATATGTGAATCCATATCAAATTGTTGGTCCTCTTAAAATCCAGTTGTATTATTAAAATAACATAAGGAAGGGAGAAGAATTTTGTGTAATCTGAATGTCTGCTTGTGAGTGTATCACCTGGTAGTGGGAATTCAGGATAGAGAGGGGGTTCCTCTCTAGATGTGACTAGTGTTAAAAAAGGACAAGCTTGGGTGCTGGCATTTGAGTTTGTCGGGTTTTTGTTTTGGTTTGGTTTTGGTATAACATAACTATTATGAGCAGATCTATAGCAAGAAGACTTCAGGGTTTCATTTCTGAACCAAGTGAACTGTTCAAGGGTCCACTGTAGAAAGCATGACATTTAAAAAAAAAAAAAAATCCAGGATTTTGCTCTGCAAGAAGTTGTAGATAAGTCTGATTTCTGGTGTTGTAATAGCTGTTCAAAATGGGTATTAGGGGTGATTTTTGTAAGGCATTGCTGCTAATTGTTTACATGATATCACTATTGGTGAGCCAGACTGCATGGAGCTTTGATTTGGGTTGCAAAACAATAATGTGATACATATATACTTTAAGAAGCCCTTCTGTTGACTGTTTCCATTTTCAAAGTGTTGTTATGGTAAACAGCATTAAATTTCATAAACATTCAAAATGGGAAGCAAGAACCCAAACTAGTACCTGGATTAAAGAAAGATACATAGTGTAATGTTTAATTTAGATTGGAATTCTTCTTTTGCAGTGAGCCAGCTTTTAAAATTGTGTATTTCTTACTGGGATTGTGACTATATCTTAATCTCCCTTCACACATTAAATAAAAATAATAAAAATCACACTGCTGTAAAAACCATCTTTTAAGAGAGGAATTTCAAGTGTACTCATTAACAGCCTAGACTATGTACATTGAAGGTGATAGGAACTTTCCATTGAGAGACTGGTGTATAACAATCATCCAAGGAGAGGACTGTTTCTAGGTGAAGTAGTCCAACTACATTTGTATCTTGCAGCTTCAGTACACAGAGAAGCATCTATTGTTGCTATCAGTGCAGTCACCGCTGTGTTTTCTAAGAATGTGAAATCCCCGTGCAAGCTGTGGAAGTTCTGTGGAACTAAATTCTGCAGAAGTAAAACTTAAAAATTCAAAAACCTTGCACTGTGAACTGGCTGTCAGTGGGGAGTTAACCTAGGAACATCACTGCTGGAAGGTCAGACCTTTGCTTTTGGGCTTTAGCTTCTAGCAAGAAGAAATGCATCCCTTGTTGGCCAGGTAGCAAAGTAAGTCTTCCAAAATACTCCAAGTGTCTTCAAGAGAAGTTGTCCTATTTGTCTGAATTTTCAAAGCATGCAGGGAAGTAACTTGTATGCAAAGAGAAAGAAGACTGTAAATTAGAAGGAACATTTCAGGCGTTTAGTAAATGATACAGTAGTTCCCTTGGTAGAACTGTTCTAAGCCTTTGAATTTTATTCTTGATTTAGGTTTATGAACACCAAGATGGAAGCAAGTCTCTGAAGTTAGGAGACTTTGGCCTAGCAACCATTGTGGATGGACCTCTCTACACTGTTTGTGGGACCCCAACATACGTAGCTCCAGAAATCATTGCTGAAACTGGGTAAATCACTTCTAGTGATGATTCATTGATAGATTCACGGTGAAATGTGTTCTTGCTGTTATGCCAGATACAAGTTCTTGTAGTCAGGATTTTTATGCTGCTTTTGCTTGGGTATGACATAGAATCATGGCACAGAAAACTTTAGTTGGAAGGGACCTCTGGAGGCTATCATACCCAGACCAGCTCAAAGCAATGCTGAATTTGGAGTTAAAGCAGGTTGCTCTGTCAGTTAGCCTCAAAATTCTCACTTTTTCACTAAGTTACTAACTATCCATTTGCATATACAATAAATGTAATTCTTACACTGACCCCAGAGACTGCTAAGTACCATTTACTTAGTTTTATTTCATTATCAAACACCATCCTTTTCTTCTGATTTGTTCCATTAAATAAATATCTGCCAGTGAGCAAACTGTGGTCAGTTTTGCAGGCTTTCTGTTGGTGAAGGTCACTGTCTAGCTCAGCAATACAGCGCAATGTCTTTGGACATTCATACATTCTTATCTGATATAGTTTTAAGATGTAAATCTAAAAAAAGATATGAAAGCAGAATTAGAATAGGTAGGTAGATAGGACATAGAGAAAGTTTAAATTAGAAAACGTAAGTTTTTAATAATTTTGAAGATGTTTCCCCTGTTCCCGTACTGTAGTTCCTAGAAATCAGATTTCTCTAATCATATCTCTCTCACTTCTAGATATGGCTTGAAGGTGGACATCTGGGCAGCGGGAGTGATTACTTACATCCTGCTCTGTGGTTTTCCTCCGTTCCGTGGGTATGGACTGGTCTATTCAACCATCCTTGCTTTGTTAATTGGTTCTTGTACTGCTTTTGCATTAAGCACAACTGGAAAAGGTTCTCTGCTTGTAGGGTTTGTTTTTTCCCATGATTTGTATAGTAATTTACACAAATCCCGTAAATGTCTGTGATTTTACTGTAAAGTCTCTGTCTCATGTGTGTTTATTTTAGTTTAAACTTCATTGCATTACAAAACAAGATCCTCCATTATGGGTTCTGGGTGCCTTTGCCTGATGTTTAAAATACACAGTAAAATAAACATATTCTTTCATGGACCAAATACAACATATTTTGTGGTTGGTAAAAAGTAAATAAAGTTTAAGCCACTTAATAAGGGTATGTCAGATCTTTTCTCCCCCTCAAAGCAATTGAAAAGTGTTTGACAGTCCTAAAGACAAGCAGGTTACCTCAGAAAGAAGATATGAAATGCACTTTGTGTTATGATCTCAGCATTCACACCTGTGGTTGCATGCTTGAGGAGAATAAACAGTTTCCAAATGCATACTCCAATTAAAAGCAATTTCAAGAAGCTTTTTAAAACCAGCTCAGGAAATAATGTCTCTGTGGGTTTTGTTGTCTTTTTTTTTTTTTTTTTGGTTGGTTTTTACTTTACAGAAGTGGAGATGACCAGGAAGTGCTTTTTGATCAGATTTTGATGGGACAGGTGGATTTTCCATCTCCGTACTGGGACAACGTTTCTGACTCTGCAAAGGTGAGTTTATATAGTTGATGACACTTCTCCAATAATATTCTCAGTGCCTGAGATAATGGCTGTTACCCTTTCACAGAGCTGTATTTGACATGTCCCATACATCCCTGCTGCACCTGTAAATTCCCATGGGTTATCAAGTAAACTGTTTTTTGATCACTGTCTGTTAGATTCCAAGCAGTTCTGAAATGGACCCCACCTCTATGTGATGTCTCATACAACAGAGACACCCAGCAGCCTTTACTGACCAAGAAAAATGTTGTGTATCTCTGCTTGATCTATCCTTCTTATCTTGAAAACTCCCTGGGACCATGCTTTTTATGTGTTCACAACAGGGACCAGGTTCCAACCTGGAGCCTTTGAATATAATATAATAATGTTATAGGGAAGCTGTTTTCCTTTATTAATCTCATTAGATGATACATCTGTTTTTTCTTTCTGTCAAAGAACTAGGCCTGTCATTGCCTGTAATTCCTCATTGGTGTCAGTGTGGTATGAAATATGGACCTCTTTTGTCCACCAGTTCATGGGTTGTAGCCTCTTGGCACATGGCAGGGAGGAGTTGGAGGTTGGGATGTGCTAAAGCAGATACGGCACTTTTCAGATACAGATCCCGATGTTTTTTAACTCTTATTACTGTGCTGAAACAACAGCTTCCCTCACAAACTTTCTAGGAATCTGACATTCACTATAGTCATATACATACATATAGAGAGACAGATAGTATGTATGTTTATGTCAAAAAAACCAAACACATAGACTATATGGTTAACATGTAGTTAAGTGTTTAATTTCCCTGATATATAAGAGTTCTGCCAATTTACTTCCACAGTCTGCAAGGCAAACCCAGACAAAACTGTCTTCCTATTGCTTTCAGTGTGTGTTTAATCACAAAACATTTATAGAATAGCAGAATCACAGAATATCGGAGTTGAAAGAGACCCTGTGTCTAAGAGCATTGTCCAAATGCTTCATGAACTGCAGCAGGCTCAGTGCAGGGACCACTTCCCTAGGGAGCCTGTCCAAGTGCCCCTTCACCTCGTCCCAGTTCTTCACCTCTTGGTGAAGAGCTTTTTCCTGATATCCATCCTGAACTGACCATTGTTGCAGCTTCAGGCCATTCCACTTTAAATAGTGGAAAGCTGCTGGTAGGGGCCCTTCAGTTTCTTCTTCCCCAGGTTAAAAATGCCCAGCTCTCTTAACATCCTGGCAGGTATCTGCTGGGCTCCATCTGATTCCCTGTCATCTTTCTCATATGGGTGGCTGGAGACAAGTTTGGAAGTGGATGTGAGTGATGAGAGTACTGTTCTAAGTTCTGAATCTCCATTCTTTGGTGTTGATAACATCCTGCTTTTGCAGATGTGTGGATGATGATTAGGACTGGTGTTTTAGTTTGTTAACTAATGAGGTTAACAAATAAGATACGGTCTTACAGTTGGAAGTCTTCTAATCTACATCATTATTTTGTAGCAGGCTTTATTGCATATATGATCACAGAATGACTGAATGGTTTAGGTTGGATGGGACTGTTTGAGGTCATCTGGTCCAACCCCTCTGCTCAAACAGAGCCACCTAGAGCAGGTTGCTCAGGACCCTTTCCAGAACCATCAGTAATGAGAACTCTGCAGGTCCTTTCCTGTAAAACCTCTTCTTCCAAATTTTGTTTTGAAGCATTAGACTGCTCATTTAGCTTCTTCTCCTTGTCAGTAATAATTATTAACTTTGGTTTTTGGTGATATCCCTTTATTTGCCAACATACTGCAGTCCTATTTTCTGTGCATTCTACTCACTGATGGAATTAGCTATGTATTTATTTACATGATAGTTGAAAACAAGGTAATTGCACAGGAAATTGAAGCATGAAAAAAAAATGTTTAAAAGTGGTTTATCAAATATCTTCTATGTCATTTAAACAAGAGCTTAAAGTAAAATTCTAGATTCACTGACTTTTTCCTTACAGAGAAACTGGCTTTTTCTTAATGAGAAGCTAACCTAATTTTATGTGATCATCTGTTTCGTACATTATGTCTTAAGTGCTTTTCTCTTAAACAGTGGCAACAGAACTGTAACTCAGAACTGTCCTCTAGCTTTTCAAGGTACTGTTAGATAATGATATAAAAGTTCAACTTGAAGATCAGTTCATAGTTCTCTTTTTTTTTTTTAATAATCTTAATATATTGCTGCAGCTGGTAGTTCATTCTGTCTTTGAGCACTCTTCTGTAATCAGCTAAAAAGCACTTTAGTAAATTAAATCTGTTGATTTGTTCTTCAAAACATTTGACCCAGTGTTCCATTTCTCAGGAACTTATCACAATGATGCTTCAAGTAGATGTAGATCTGCGGTTCTCAGCCTTGCAAGTTCTTGAACATCCATGGGTTAACGTAAGTATTCTCAGGCTTGTAGATGCTGCTTCTAATTTGGCATCTTTGAGCTCTTCTCTGTCACATCCTTTCTATGCCCTTTTGGAGCCATCATGTTCTAAAAAATGCCACAGATTTAACTGGAAATAGACTGGGTTACATGCTGTTTTAGCATATTGTGCATACATTGGAGTATTTACTATTTTATGCATGCTCAGTTTCATTTTCTCTGAAATAATTTGTGCCAAGTTTTCAACATATCTCAACCACACTTGACAAATTTATACCTCTAACAATCAGCTTCTGAGTTCAATGGCACATTTTGCTCTCCTAAAATCAGATGGATTCAAAAATCTGACAGTCATGATTAAAAACTATTGAAATACAGTCCATGGTGTTAAGCCTACTTGATCCAGCATGAAATGGGGAAACCTTTAGCATCATACTTAACTGCTGACATTGAAATATACATATATTTATGTGCAGCCATATCCATTTAATCTGAGTTACCATGAAATAGCTATTTATGCATCTTGGCTTATCTCTAAGCGACTGGACATTTGCCATAGAAGTGGTAATCAGTGAGATAGCATATGGATACATCTGTCAGAGAATAAAGAGATTTGTCTCTGATTAATGTTGAGACAAGGACACTACTTAGTATTTGTCAATTATTTCATATTTAGTATTTCTTAAAATATTTGAATGACAAAAAGAAGAACTGGAGAAATTCTAGATTCAAATTCAGAAAGGAAGACGGAGAAAAAAATACAACTACAATCAGCAGAGAAAAATAAAATCAAAGGAGGAAGAAACAGTATTTCATTTTCCTTGTTACAAGTTGGAATGTGCAATTCTCACTAGAATGCTATTTTGTCCCTCGGTTAACAGATTCCCTGAGCTGCTGTATCCAAACAATTTTTCTCACTGGAACACTGCTCGAAAAATTCAAAGATACAATAACCTCAAAAGCTAGTATTTTTTTCTTTGGAAGTGACTTTGATATTGCCTGGAATAGTGATGATCACTGAAGTGTTTACAAAGTATATGCTTTAGTCCTGGAGGCTACCTTACTGCCTAAACCTTATTTTTAAAGTATTTTTACTGTAAATGGTATTATGCGGAGTGCTTTTGCTGTGTACAGAGAGTACAAGGATCCAGGACAGTGCGTGATGAAAACCTTTTCATTTTTAAGATGACATTCAAGCAGCTGAAATAATAATTTTCCTTGATGCCAGGTACTGTCCTTGGACAAAGTGTTCTGTCACAATTTATAATGACTTTTGGTAACTGAAGTGTCTCTTTATCTCCATGGGAAAAGGGAGGGTGGGGATTTCTGGCATGTTGGTGAGAAGGAGATGGAGGAGACTGCTAAGAAGAAGTGGAGAGGCCAGGTCACCCACTGTGTCGGTCTGCATACTTCTGCTGAGGCTATTGAAACACCACTTGTTTATGCAACATAAGCATGTGGCTGCTAATCTTCTCCTTTGTGAAAAATACATTGGAGCTGTCTGCTTCCCCCAGACACTTTTTATTTATTTATTTAATTGTGCTTCAATTACTCCACAGTGTGTCTTAGGAAGGTCTTTTAGCAAGATGCATTAAGAAGAGGTGCAGCAATTTGAGGCTGTGGTATGCAGGCAAGGTGACAGCGTGCTCCCTGCTCTTGCTAATACTTCCTGCAAAGGGGAACAGGGAAAGGAGTAGATGTCTGAAGTCTTCCAGCATTGCAGAGCTCCAGTAGCCAATTCTTTGGTTACTGAAGCACCCTTGCAAATTCCTAGGTTTCTGTGCAGTGAATTACGATATGGATCCCTTTGCCAGCAGGTGCTGTGGAGGCCAAGTATGAGTAGATTCAAAAGGGAGCTTGATACATTTTTGGAGGGTGATCCCATTGGCGCCTGTTAAATACTGTGGTCTGGATAAAACTTCTGGATCACAAGGTTCTTAAATACTTGATTGGCAGAAATTGGACGATGTAGCAAGGAAAGTTCAATTTCTTCTTGCCTTCGTTCCTTAAACATACTATCTCATGAACTGTGACTGATGCACTGTTGGAAACTGGATACTGAGTTTAATTCAGCTTTAGTCCAGCTCTGCTGCACTTCTTGTAGTTCTATGCTGGTTATAACTTTTTGCAATCAAAACCTGTAGCAGCTCTGTCCACCAATAACTGAAGCAAATACTCCATGAGAGTTCTGTAATTTCTTCTTTTCCGTCCAATTGCTGCTCTTAGGAACTGAGACGAGTCAGTGTTTTGTCTTCAGCAATATGCTACCGATAGTTTGTAACACAGATCAAAACCCCTTTTGAATTCTCATACGTATCCTGCAGATATTTTTTCTGGAAGAAGGGCTAGTGCTGGGACCAGTTCAGGAAAGCACTTGAACGCATTCCAAAGGTCTCTCCTATTTCAGGGATTCACACATGGAAATGCTTACTGTTAGCCACAAAATTAACTAGATTGCACTAAATTCCTAGTTCACTTCAGGAGAAATAAGAACATGGCTGAGATGAAACAGGTGCTTAAGTATGAAAAAGGATACTTCCCTTGAGTGGGTCTGAGGCACACATGACAGATAACCTAGCAATGAAAGGCTGCTTGTGTGCAGAGGCAGAATGACAGACTGGTGTCACATCCAACCTCTCATTCCAGTACTTTTATCCCCAGCTTGACCAGTTGTGAATACAGCCTTCCTGTACCTCATTCCCAGTTTCAGACCAAAGAATTAATATTCTTGTCCCTGTTTACAAAATGTTCTGAGATACATGTGTCCTGGGCAATTTTCTGCAACTTTCGTAAAATATTCTCCTTTGCAGAAGACAAATGGCACCTGGAGTTTTCACCTAACTCTCCACTTCCCCAGCTAACCTGCTTAAATTGCTCTCCATGACATCAAATTCTGGGCTTTATTTTTCCTTTCTGTATTTCAGTTTTAGAACTATTCATATAATGGTAAACTTGAAGCTAAAACATTGGATAGAGCAGCTGGATTGAAAAGCAGGCATGTGTTTTCTTTGACAATTTTAAGAAACATTTTCTCTCTTTGATCAAACCTTTGATAGAAGTATTCTAACTGCTTACACTGTATAAAACCATTTTGTAGATTGTAAATAACCATTCCACTTTATAGCTGCTTACTATGTGATTACTTGGTAAATTGCTGAGATTCCTGGAATGTACTTTGACAGTTTCAATAGGAGCCAACCCTCATTTCAGTTTCAGTTTTTGCTATAAAAATATCTGGAATCCTCTTGGAAACTGCAAAACTTGTTATGGTCAGAGTCAGACCAGTAAAGCAGTTCCTATGTCAATAATATCCCAGCTGTTTTCAATTCAAAAAACAAAACCTGAAAAGATGTTGGCTACTTGCCACTGCCACAGATGGAGATCCTGAATTCTAAATGCAATTCAGCAGCAGTCCTTTGCCCCCTCCATTTAGTTTATTTGGATTTGTCTCTCACATGCAGTACACTTAGACCTGGAAACAAATCCATCAGTTTATACTTCCCCTATTGGGACCCCAGTTCCTTCTTTTACCTGCTCAAATTCTCTGCAAACCCAAAGAATTTTAAGAAGGGCTGGAAGCTTGAGGTCGGGCATTTTAAAGGTTGGGAACTTTATATAACCTGCAGTATACTAGTGGCAAGTTACGGGACAAATCTACTCAATTGTCTGAGTACTAAGTATTTTCTTTTTCTTTTTTTTTTTTTTGTACATCATTGAGCAGTGAATGCTGAAAGGGACTGATTGCATTCTATAAATCCTTCTCTGTTAAAATAATCAATATAAAATGTGGTGTGCTGTTGCTGGAGGAAGAAGATGGCATGCTAGCTTCAAAAGAATTAGGGAAACTGTAGCCTTTATGTATATCCTTAACCTTGTCTGCCTTGGAGATCTGTGTGTAAAAGAAATGAATAACCAAGAAGTAAATAGTAATAAACTTAACATTTGTAAGAAACTTAATTTAAAATGACATTTCTTATTCAGCAGCTGCTGTACTTTTGGTCACACCCTAGGACACTGCCCAGAGAAAAATCTCCTTGTAATCCCTAAAGGAAACAGCCAAAAAGCTTTTCCGGCACTTTTATTTGCTCTCATTTTCTGCTGGTATTTATATAATAACCTCTTCATTTGATGCATTCAGACCTGGGAAGTAAAACTCTTGTGACTGGCTTGTGAAGTGAATCTGAGTGCTTCAGGGCAGCAGGAGTCTGGGAATCCTGAACTTTGTTCATTCTTTTTAACACCCCTTTTTTTATGTCTTCTGCCATATAGAACACTGCAGATATGAAAACAGTATTTTTTAATTACTCAAATGATGCCAAGATCCTCTGCCGCATTTATTTATTTATTTACATGAATTCTTGCAAATAGAACATGAAAGGGATTTCGTGGAGCCTGATGAAAAAATAATAATAATTGGAAGATCCCAGGCACTTAACAGTGGCCACATGAAAACTTAAATTCTGGACCAGACTTTTGAAATTGTCAAAGAATTTTTTCTTCACAGCTTCTGAAACATGCTCAGGAGAGCACTTCTTTCAGAGCATCAGCAGTCAGCATTCTCAGAAAATCATAACCCTTTGAAGTTCCCAGAATTGAGCACCAAAAATCACAAGTCATCTTTAAAAGATCTTGTCCAGACCGCTACAGCTAAAATGAAATTCTGTGGATGTAACCCACTGCAAGAAGTAGTTCATATTCCTAGAGGGTAACATAGGGGGAAGACAATTTTAACCTCTTTGAGGGCTTGCATCCTTCCCATCACAGTAACCTGATGAAATTCTTGTCAGGAATATTTAGCCTCTTCTCCAGTTCTACAACTTAACCCTGCTGATTCTGCTGAATCTGGTGCGGTGATTTTTGTTTTTTTTTTTTTTATTTTTTATTTTTAACTTCCTGCCTTGTGTGTAGCTGTCATCTCTCGCCCATAATATCTATCTATTTTATTGTTGGTTGAAGTGATTCCAGGAGCCAGCAAAAACATATATTAGCTTGTTCACAAAGCACTTTGGAATTGAAAAAAAAAAATACATTTTAAAAAAGTAAACATCAGGTAGCACTGACAGTAGTTTGAAAATGTCATAATGAAAGAGTGATGCCCATACATAGCTATGCTACATCCTAAACTGAGCTGAAAAATGTTTCATCTGAATGCTGGAGCCCCAAGTACACATCTCTGGCAGATTGCCACTGGAACAGAGGGTGTGGTGCTTCACCAGTAAAATATTACCACAGTCTTGGTAACTATTGTCCTCTCTGTAACTTAGCCTTTTGACAAGACAACATGAAACTTTGGCAGGCTTTCATTGTCAAGAAAGCCAAGAGAATGATTTCTTTTTTCCTTCAGTGAAGAAGAGCTCACTTTATAGACTTTCTTCTGGGAAAGGCAAGGTCAGCGGAAAGCAGCTTATTTTTAGGGGTCATATACCACCGAGCCAAGACTCCCCAGTGCTAGACAATAATCAGCTACTGGGTCGCATTGTTTTGTTTTGTGTTCTGCAGCTGTGTGCACTTGACCATATTTTGCCAGCTGAGACATTTTGTTAAGGGGTGAGTGAGGGATTTCCAAACACAAACTCCCCAAACTAAATAAATAACAAACCCAAACCAACCTCCCTAAAGTTCCCATATGCTCACAGGGATCATGATTTACTGCAACAACTGTGTAACTCTTTGTGTGCACTCAGAGTCTCTGTAAAGCCAGAAGAAAAAATGTCTGAAATCTCTCTATATTCTGATCTTAGTCTGAAATCTCTCTGTATTCTGCTCTTATCTCGTTTCCATGTTTTCTGCTAGAATTTTGCTTAAGTGGACTTTCAGGATCTTTCTCAATTGTTGATAGCTACACATACAAAGCAGTAATAGATGGATGCATATCAGGCCCCTGGATGACCAGGCACGTGATATCTTACATATTCTGTATATTCTGCATGTCGTTGTCTGAAATCCTGCTTATTCTGCTAGCAGGGAAGTGGTGCTTTTTGCACGGACATTCCTGCTGGTTCCCTCTTGCCCACTGAATCAGGTACAAAGACATTTTTTGCAGTTTCTTAGAAGCTCCTGTCTTGTTTTGGTCTTGAATTCAACCTGTTGACTTGTGCAAAACTGCAAACTCCATTCTTTTTGATGGAGTTCAGCTTCTGCATGGAGGCTGGCTGCGTGCTTTGGTGCAGATAGACACTCCTGCTGCCAGGAGCAGGGGGTGTCAGCCAGGATGGGGCACCTCCAGAAGCTGCACAGCTTCTGGGCCAGAGCCCTGGCACAGCTGGCTGGCTGGGTGCACACAACAGGAGAACATGTGTCTGCCTGTACTTGGCCGTGTAGCCGTGTGTAACTTCTACCTCAGGTTTGCTCAAGCTGAGAACACGTGGTTTTTGGCAAGGAAGAAAAGGCCACCCACAGCTGACTCCAGCTGACGCCTCTGCTGTCCTGCCCAGGCAGCGCATACCTCTGCGTACCAGATGCCCCAAACTGACCTGCAAATGTTTTTTTATTTGTGATGTATCGTGGTGTTCATGAGGGCCTGTGTTCACCCACATAGCAGGCCTGGGCCAGGGCATGTCTCAGCTCCCATCTTGCCTGGATTTCCTCTCCCTGGGGCTCACTAAGCCGGAGCTGGAGCACTGGCCCAACCCCACAATCCCAGGGCTTGTCACCTTTATGACTGGTAGACATAAGGTAGCACCAGAAGGAGTTCAAAAATTTAATAATGTAGAGTAATTCCCATAAATATCTATGGTGTGACTGGCTTGGGGAAGCCATGGGCACAAGGTATAAAGTGCCTTGCCTCAGGTTAGATTTTGACAAATACCCAGTGCGTGCTTGTATCAAGCTCCCTCAAAATTGAAAGCCTTCTACTCACATTGATAGATAAAATCTTCCTTTCTTCTTGTATCAAAATATATAATTTAGTCAAAATACAGCAATTCTGAACTTGGTTTTCACACAGCATTTGGAAATCTTTTCTGCACCCTACCACACCAGAAGCTTTGGGTTTCTATAATCTCTTGGCTTCTTTCTATGTTTAAACTCATTATCTTCAAATGTATTTGATGAGTAAAAAGAAGAATAAATTGGTCCAAGCTTATGCTTTGGACCAATTAATGCACCTAAGAATAACCAGGCACTGGTTGTTAAGACCTGGTAGAAATAATAATAAAATATATAAAAAATATTTAATTATCATAACCTAAAGTTTGAGAGAAAAATGTTGCGTAAAGAAGAAGAGAAAGGCTCATTCATTATGTAATTCAGTGTTCATCCTATAAATACCAAGACAATGACTGACCCATATTTCATTACAAACTTTTTTTTAAAACTTCTCTGTATTGACAGGTGCTATCAGAATCACTTGACAAAGCCTTTTTTTTGCCTTTTCTCTCTGAAGTTTTGTTTTGTTTTGTTTCTCTGCAGGATGATGGTCTTCCAGAGAATGAACATCAGCTATCAGTAGCTGGGAAGATAAAGAAGCATTTCAACACAGGCCCTAAACCGAACAGCACAGCAGCTGGAGTTTCTGTCATAGCAGTAAGCATCTGAAATACACAGCTGAAACACTTAAATATGTGCCCACAAGACTGTGTGTGTTTAGGACATGCCACCAAAAGAGAGAGTCAATCTTTAGATAGTTCAAACAATTAATATAAACATAGACTGGTAACTCTGTACAATTTCTCCATTGATTCTCCTTGTGAGTCACATTGTTATTTAACGTCCCTAGGAGATCTAACTGTATGCACACTTCCACATTCCGCCAGAAGATTGTTGGACCTAACTCCAGTATAGATTCTACACTTTGAATTATGGTATCATGACATTTTACTTGGCAGCAGAATCTTCACATGGATTGGGGCAATACAGAGGTTGTAGCAGAAGGACAGCAGCACTTTACAATGAGTGAAAATTTCAGAACTGTAACAGAAAACCCATATGGCAACCTGAGCTTCTCTTCTTTGAAGACACCAAAGAGAGCTATGATGACACACAGCTTGCTGAGAAGTGCCACCTTCGTGGTTGATGTTAGTCTAGCCACTTCAGGTTTAGCTGAGCATTAACATGTTGCTATTACATGCCAAAGCCACATGCAGCTTGCAGCCTGCTTCCCCTTTGGGCAGAATGACTTAATTGGGTAGAAACTCAATAGAGTTTCTTGCTGCCTTCTGTCACACTGCAACTGCAGTCTCGACATTCCAGGTCATAATGTGTGGGAGCTTCTGAAACCAAGCTTGTCCAAAATTTTGGCCAAGCTTTACTAAAGTTTCAATGGCATCCTCCGCATAGTATACATCATATGCATTTGTATTTTTTGCCTAAAGATGAACATGTGTATTAGATATACATACACACAGAATATATTCAGTGTTTTATGAGCTTATTCATACTAATACCATTAAATAGTAACATGCACATCCTTTACATTTTTGATACATCTGCCTGTGTTTGTAAGCTTTTCTTTATTATTCATGGTAATGTTAATGCTCCAAATAGTCACTAAAAATAAGTGACACATAACCATTCCCATATCAGATTACTCAGTGTTCGTTCCCAGCTTCCATAAATTGCAGGTGGTGTGACTGCACATGTACACTTTCTTGTACTGTTTCCACTTTCATGTTTCTCAGCTCAGCCCCTCCAGTGGTGAGTTAAATCAGCATGAAGTAAACTCAGCTCAGCACATGCAATCTGGCTCACAGGTGTGAACTGTTTGTACAGCAGAATGGATACTCTCTCAAAGTTACTTGGTATAAGTACTTAAAATTTCAAGCTGTGCCTATGTCATATTTTTCTTTACTCTTCCCAACCCTAAAGTTCCTCAACATGGAAGCAAGTTGTTCCTCATGCTTTTCTTAGATTTTTCTCAGTCATCGGCTAACATAGTCAGCTTTTTTATTTTTTTATTTTTTTTTTTATTTTCATTTTTAAGCAATAATACTGCAACAACTCTCCCACAACTAAAACATCACATACCCATTGCTCATCTGAACTGCAGGTATGTTCTGTATAGACTAGCTGAAACTGTGTTCCTTTCGAATGGACTGCCAGCACGCTTGTCCATGAGAACTACTGCTCAGATCCTCCATGCTAATGACTTCAAAGCTTAGAAGCAAGAAATGATGCCTCTGTCCTCATCCATCCGTCGCCTCTGTTATTTTTTAGTTTCCCCACCCTCCTCTTTTATTTTTTTCTTTGCCCTAGTTGCTCTGCCAAGGAATTGTTTACAGCAGTTTGACACTTGAGTAATGAAAAAGGCACTGTAGTGAATCTTTCCACTGCAGAACATTACAAATCAGGAAAAAAAGAAAGTTTGTTTATATTTTAATGGCTTTTATTTATTTTGTAGAGTTTGGAAATTTAACTAATTATTTTTAGTGATCATCTCTATGAGTGAGCATCATACTCTGGCATGATTAACCCTGCAGGTTGGCCTATAAAGTAGAAATATTAAGAATATTTTTACAAAATTCAAAAAGTGGTTTGATTAGCTTGTGTGAACTAATTTCTAAAATTCTGCAAGATAGGGGAAATTACAGACCTCTTCATCTTTTCATAATGATCCAAAAAGCTAGGTAATATTGATTTTAAAAATAAATTACCTTTAATAAGTAAAATAAAGCAAAAGCAAGACAACAAAACCTTTAATTGTTGTTTCTGCATTTGAAAGTGTATGTAATATACATTTGGCATGCATGTCATTAGGGTTTTACATTTGGGAATCTTCCTTTTAACTGTGCAATATCAAATATCATAGAAGTAAATCTCATTAACTAAGCCTGCTCTGCGTTTAGAATTTTCAAAGTACATACAGATGCTGAAAAAAATGTTCAGCAATGAAGACGTGCACTAAGTATATTTTCTACAAAAATATTGTTTTATTGTTCCTGCCTGTATGTTTACTGTAACTTTTTGAGTGAGTGCTTGTGTATATAATATATAGAGATGCATTCTATATATTATGTAACACATCTGTGTCTGTCTGTGAAAATGTGTTAATATGTGCATATATTTATAGAGATTAATTAATAGTTATAAGTATTAGAATTATTTTGAGTTCTCTAACTCTATTTATGTACAGAGAGAGCTAATCTGTGGTATTTAGTTCTTAATTTGTCCTCACACTGGTATGATACTATATGCCTGTTTTCTTTCGTGGTAAGAAGTAACACACCTCAAAGATCTCAAGCAGTATTTATCATATGCACCAATTAAAACTCTAATACGAAAACTAAGCTTATAAGACTCTAATATGAAAACTACATTCATAAGGATGTTTTTGTGGTCAGCTTGACTGGGAGGAAGTTTGAAGCCATCTGTTTTTTACGTATGTGTACTGTGGCTACTGCTTCCTTCAGCAATGTCCAAGTACATTGTATGGACTCCTTTTGCTCAGGTGTACGCTTGCTTTGTTGATGTAGTAATCCTTTGTAAAAGTTACCTCTGACCATTCAGGATGGAGACATCCTACAAGTTCTCACGCATGTGTCCAGACTTTAAGTTTGTCCACATTTGGAAGGATTTGGCCATTTGGACAAACTACCAGAATGAACGTGTTGTGCATGCCTAGGAAAGTAGCTCCTTTGCTGATGTAGCAGGAGATGATTGCTCAAACAAAATTAACTGCACCAGCAAAGAGACTTTTCTGTTCGTACATTAATACTTCATTAAAAGTTCTGCCAGCATAACTATGTCAGTTGGGAAAAAATTCCCTTAAACCAACATAGCTTTGCCAGCAAAATTTTAATTGGAGAGCCAGCTTCTAAAACAGCAATAGAATTAACAAGTGCCTAAAAAACACTGCTTGCTGATGGGAGAGTATGTAGGAGAAAGATCTCTATACTTGCCCTATTCTTAAACTCTTGTCATAAGCATTAACTACTGGTCACTGCAGAAGACAGGCTGCCAGGCTAGGTCCCCGTTGGTCTGTGTCAGAATGGCCGTGTTACTGCTAAGTACGTGCCAAAAGATTTGCAGGGTCAGGTTTCTCATACAGCTTATTTTGTACATCTGTGATGGTGTTTATACAGACACTGCAGTAAAATCACAAAAACAGGCCTTCACTAAGTAGTCTTTTTCAAAATTTGGGACTGGAATTTTTCATTCAGTTCTTCAAGGATGTCATCCCATGTTTTATTTGGCCACTAAACAATAATCTGTGGCTGTACACTGTAGGTTTTAGTGGCAGTGTCATAATGCCAAGAGCCAAAATCTTTTTTTTTCTTTTTTTTTTTTTTAAAAAAAAGAATGCTTTCACAATCCAGAGGTGTACCATAATTCTGTATATTAACTGAGCATCATTCAGTTTGTGTTCTTGTCTAAAATGTTAAAGCTTTGCCTGTATGTTGTCACTTATGTGCTTGTATTTTTGCCATTGTTAAGACAGAGGAGAAGACTAACGATAATGTAATGCTAAGGTTGTTTGAGGTCTCTGTCTTGGCAATGAGAGTAAATTCCAGCTGGAGACTCGCAGGAATGGAGTAGGACAGAAAAGGAAAAAAGCTGTGCTGGAAGTTGATGCAGCTTTCTGCCTCTTGCAGGGGGCCAATGTCAGCTGGGGATGCCAAACTGGGGCTGCTGCCTGCAGCCAGGCAAGGGGAGGGCAGTGGATGGGTCATTGCCATGCCTTCCGCCGAGTATAAAACCAAATGACGGCTTGCAAGTGGCATTTTTAAAAGGGGGATTTCTTGGGTGGTGTGGAAGAGAAGCCAAGTTCAGTCTGTTAGTTTTGCTTGGCTTAAAGACGAACCCGTGACTCAGATGTCACTTCCTATCCGTTGTTTGTGTTGTTCTGGGCTCAGTGTGTACCATCTGTTTTTTTAGTGGAATTATTTCCACACTGGCTAAATTGTTTGAACTCTTATTAGAAAGCTAAGTCCCCTGATTTTAGCTATCTTACCTTTTTGCTATCCGATTTTAGAGCGATCTTTTTGATCTGCTTTTTAAGAAAGCATCCCTTTTATATGTTTATATGCAGTATAGTATGTAGCCAGTAGATGGCAATAGCAGACCAGTGTAGTTAAGGCAACAGAAAATGAACTATAGGTACAAGGTTCTCATGTTTTAAACAGGAAACGTCCTGCATATAATTCTAAATAAGATGAAACAGGCATTGTTTTAACAAAAAAGGAATAAATTATCAAATTCCACACTTGTAATATAGTCATCAAGAAAAATTTAAATTTGCAGTTAGCTCGTAGCTACCCTTTAAGTAGTTCATAACCAGAAGCATGTTGAACCATTTTACTGAATTTAGAATTAGAAACTGTTCCCAGTGTCGGAAATATATGCCACGCTCTTACTGAAGCACAAAATGGCCTTTTCTCTTCATAGGGCAAAATGTGAAAAGCATCACAACTTCCAGTTTTAAAGTGGGCAGAGTGTCTCCCTCAAGATATTTACCCCTAAAATCCTATTTAACTCAGCTAATGATGTCTCAAACGTTTGCTAGTGCAGCACCAGGAGGGTTAGAGAAAACAGCCTGTTTTCTTTGTTCCTATGCACATTATTCTGCTAACGATAAACTAAACTTCAAAGATCTATATTCCTTAAATAATACCTCGAGCACACTTTACTGGACACAATGTTAAGTTCATTTCCATTTTGACTTTAATTGGTGCAATTTTAAACCTAATAGTTTTGTACTGTTATCTTTTTGAGCATGAGGTGTAAGCTGAAATGATAAACAATGTTATTCATGGCTCTGAGTAGTCCTCTCCAAGGTTAACGCATTTTTAGAAATGAATTACCATGATTGATGGGGTATCAAAACCTGATTCTTTTCATCTTTACACATTCCATGATTATGAAGCAGTCTAATTTAAGCCTTGTGTAGTCTGTCTAGCCTGCTCCTTGTGATGGTTGCACTGCATTTTTTAGAAATTATTAAACCTCTCAGTTTAATTGCAAAAGATAATTTTCCATTACTGGTACGTGCAACTTAAAAGGGCACTTCTGTCTTCGGAGGTAACAAGATATTTGTCAGACTTTTAAATGAATGCATTATGCATTAAGTAACCTATTTCGCAAACTCCATTTTAGCTTGAATAAATTGGCTTCTAATTTAGGAAGACAGACTCTAAAGTTAGTATCTTTTCCTTTTGTTTCTTTACTTTTTTCTTTTCTTTCTCGTCTCCGGTACATAGCTTTAGGATGCTAGATAAGTGCCTTCTGAAAGTGAAAACAGTAAATATTGCACTTAAATAAGGAACGGCTTGCTCTGGAGTCTTAATTCTTTAGCCTAATGTCGATCCACTGAGTTGCCCCGTTTCTCTCTGCTCAGCTGGACCACGGGTTTACCATCAAGAGATCAGGGTCTTTGGACTACTACCAACAACCAGGAATGTATTGGATAAGGTATGAGATGGTGCAGCGCCAACAGTCAGTGTTTCCATGGCAACGTGCTGGCAGTCTCCATTAACCAGTTCCTTCGGTGGATAAACATGCTTTTTGATTTGTTCTCCGGTCCATACGCTGCTTTTATCGGTTTCGTTTGAATCTCGGTTGAGATGCCACACACCTCCCCCCTCCCCATTCCCTCTCTTCACCCATCCCTCACACCCACATCGCCAGCTTTCTCTCCATCGCACATGCTCAGTCTCAGTTCCCCTTCTAGTTAAAAGGACAGTGTATATAGAAACCCTTCCAGATATGCTGGGGTGTGCCCCCCCTCCTATTGCTTCTTAAGGCATCCGCTTCCTGCCTGCTCCTGCCTCTAAACGCACGGAGCAGCAACAGGCTCTCAGCATATATATTTTCCTCCTTTTTTTCCATGCGAGATGTGGAGCTATATACTGTCGTTTTAAACCCACTGAACACAATCCTTACCTTAGATGGAACAATGCATTTGCAGAACGTAGTACGTAGAAACTCTCCCAAGTTCAATGAAATACAATGCATTGTATGTGCTGGTAAGCTTGTGTTTCTAACGATGCATTCTTTCTATTTTGTGTTTAAAACCCTTCTGATACCTATTTCTTTTTCTTTGATTTTTTTTTTAATATTGCATGAGTCTTTTTAATATATTTTTTCTTCATTGTGTAACTGTGCCAGGGTTGTCGTTAGCTGGCTGTATGATAAAATGGGTCTCTGGGTGGGAGGGGGTTATTTTGGAGCGGGGGCAAGGAGGGATCCTGTTCTGATAGCCCACACGAGGCCCACACACCTCCTCAATCAATCAAGGGCCCTGCAGTTTCCATCAAGTGGTTATTTGCTGGCTTTTTTCCTCATTATTACTCACAAGACCTGGGTTTTGATAGCTAAGGAGATTTTTATAAGTTTCTCACGAAAGCTGAGTTTTCTAACACTGTAATGATTCAAGCCTTTAAAAACTCGTCTGTGAGGTATTTCGAAAAAATCAGCAAATTAACCACATTGGCGAAACAGCAGAGCTGATCACTGCAAGTGTTCCAGTGAAGCAAAATTCCACCCCTGGATCATTTCACTGAGTGCATGGATCGGGCTGCAGCACAGTTTCCATAAAACCTAGCGGTTCCCTGAGCGCACACTGAGGATTAAGTAGATTGCGATATGGATGTTCTGGGGAAAGAAAAAAAAAATCCTACTTCTCAGCCAAGAAGTAGAAAAGTAGTTCCCATCCATCATTTAAACACTGGCTGGCAGGAATTGAGCAACTCTTCCACTCCGAGTGTTTGAATGTGTAGCAGTACCTGTAATTCTAGCCTATCGCACTTGTCTTCATGGCTATAACCTTCTGCAACCTGAAAAAAAAAATATAGGAAAACATGCTTTGTCTGTTTTGTCCCTTGGCATCATTCTTCCCAGGCTCCAGTCCTGTAACACAGCTAAGTGAGGAGACAGCAGCACAGCAGCTGTGCTTTTTGGTTTTGCTCTTGAAGAAGGGGAGAATGGGTCCTGAGTGCCCAGCTTCAGCCAAGTGTGATAGTATTAAAAGCATTTATCTTTTCCACTTCCTAAGGAAAGATGGCATTTTGTGTCAGGCAGGACTTTGTCAAATAGCTGCAAATGTAATGCCTTTTCTGTAAAACAGAGGAAAGCTCACAAGAGCATCACTGATTTATCTTTCCATAGTATAATTGCTACCCATGATCAGTTTACACTCCTTTTCTGCTTTACTACCTTTTATTTAGCTCCTCCCCCGTCCCTCCCCACCAAAATAAATACATTTAAAATCTGTCTTTCCATTTGTTATATAGAGTATTGGATATTTTTTTTTATTTTTTTTTTTAATCCAGCTTCAGGGAGAGCAGACAACCAGAAAGGAGCCTGTGCTAGAGACCCGTCTCAGATTGGCCTTGACTCAGTTTAACTGCACAGCCCAGATTTTGAAACAAACCATATGCATTTTGGAGAGGTAGAGGGAAAGACTCCAATCCTGCAACTTGGTAAATAAATAAACTCTATAAAAATAATAATAAAAAAAGGCCATTTGACTAAAGCACTAGTAATGGCTGCCATCAGCATACAAAATGACACATCCCTGAATAATGGGCTGGAGCAGATGGGCGATAATCTCCCGTATTCATACATAAACTGCTCTGTTTTCCAGCTGGGGGCAGTAACAACAATGTTTATAATTAGTGCTTTCTAAACAGTGCACCTAGTGTGCAAAGGCAAATTGGGAGAGCAGGGCTCATAGGCGTAATTAGGAAATGCTATAACAGGGGTAGCTTAGAACAAGCCCTGGTCTGTATTTGTTCCTCTTTCATCTCCAAGAAACAAGCAACTGCTGTAGTGACCAGCATTTTAGTATAAATAAAACCATTTTCGATTTAGCAATTGTTTACTTTTAGTGGTAACTGCGAGCACAAATGCAAAGCATATGAAAGGTTCATCAATTTCGATCTATAAAACAGTTAATTTGTCACAGGCCCATGAAAATTAACCTGAATTCACAAGTACAGCGAAAAATGAAAGCAGGTCCCAAGGAAAATGTAATGCTCCCTTTGTTAGTGTTAAACTATTCATTTCTTCTCCGCTCCTTTGATCATTTTCATCCCTAGTTTCTAGCAGTCTTCTAAAATATCTTTTTAAATAGCACTATTTCCTCCTTCAATCAACCAGAAAACCTTTTCCTTTCTCTACCTAAGACTTTCCTATTCAAAGTGCCTCTAAATCCTAATTTTCCAACTGCTCATTTTGCATCCTGTTTTATTTCTTGTCAGGAAGATAATATGTACAAGTGTTTTAAGTGACAGGACTTTTTCGAAGTACTAAAATGCAACAAACCTTATGCCCAGCAATAGTCGTAGCCAGTATAAAATACAATGGATAGAAAACCTTTCAATATTCCTCCAATATAAGGAGCAAAGAAACAAACAAACAAACAAAAAATACAGGGGCCAAATCACTGAAATCATTTAGACCCAAAGATGATAGGTTTGGTTGAGGCTATTCTTGATAGCCAGGAAAGGCAGCCTGGGGGTAGGTGGGTTCTGCCTATGGTGCATTCCCATGTTCTTTCACCCTAAATTACCAATGCCAACTCAAGTTAAAGACAGCAGAGATCACCCATTTCTCATCTCTGAGAAGTATTATGTTTGGGATTGTTTTTTCCGCCAAAGTCAGCCTGTTTGCTAATAGGTTAATTTCCAAAAGGGTCAAAAGCAATATATTAATCTACAATTTTCCTTCTGCTGGAACTTAGCACAAAAAATGACCACACAAAGTGACCACAAAAAATCCAAATGGATAGGATGGCCCCCCATTGTCCTTTAGAAATGTCTAGATTTACTTTCTTATGAGGAACTTTTCTTTATAATCTTCTTAATGGAGGCTTTTAACATTTTTGTGGCTCAAGTTTTTTGGCCTTTTTCTAACTAAACCAGAATATTAAGAGTGAAAGTATTTCAAGCCTTACTTCCCTTTTGCCCCAAGTGTTGCAATGGACAGAACTTAGCCTTCTTCAGCTACATTACCAACTCTTGCCAGTGGCAGCACATTTTGAAGACAATATTTTGAATAACTTGCCAACGTTTTCTTTGACACTGCCTAAATTTCCTTACTGGTTCTGGTTTATGTCTGAATCTTAACACGTTTTTAATTTGCTACTGCCAACATGGCCATTTTCTGCCTATTTGGGCGGCTTCAGAATATGAAGAGAACACCAGAGTGGGTGTATCTAATATAAAATATTTGTATAAAATATAAGTATATCTAAGATAAGTATAAAAAGTTAATGTATATTATTTTTGATTTATCTACAGACATGTAAAACTAAAGGAGTAAAATAAAACCCAGGAAAAGTCATTAAGTCATTATGGGAAAGTCATTAATTAGCTAAATAATGACAATAGCAAGAACACCAGTTACACATGTGTGTAATGAAATCATCAATCCTGTTGATAACGAATTCATAAAATACTGGATTTTTAAAGTACAGTTCTCTCTGTCCCAGTTTTAAAAAGTAGCTGAATAGCTCATTTGAAAATCCTTCATTCCAGTTTGTGTTTGGTACCTAATTCCCAGTACTTTGCATCTGTCAAGTTACTTACACCTGTCCCAAGTGGATACAGTACACTTTCAAGTCAAAAGGTAAAGGCAAATGTCTTGACAGTGGGCAGAGTGGTTGGGAATTAGGCTTGCTATCTGTAAAGTGCCATTTTAAATGCAGTAAAACCCTCTGTAAACTTAATACTGGTGAAAACAGACAAACATCTAAACTCATTTAAAATCTCTTCTCCTGCTCTTTGACTAAGAAAACCACAACTGATTTACAAACTATAAATAAAATTCACCCATGCAAACAACTTGGCACTAAGTCTCTTCCACGTGTAATTGAAACCAGCTGAGGAATTGTGTCTCCAAAAAGGGGGGATGTCAAAGAGTAAACACAGGCTTAAATATGGCAATATGAATTCAGCAGTTATACGTGTGGAATACTTATCTTTGTATTCACTCACCAATACTGTATGAAGCATACATCAAATTGATTTGATTTTCTTTCTTTTTTACTTTTGTGTTAGCAAAATTCCATGCCCGAAGTTACATGGTGCACTAAAGCACTGGCCTTTTGCATTTGGAGGTCTAGGTTCAAATCCACTCGATGGATTTGTCCCCTCGATGTGGTCATTTGCACGTCTCCAAATCACCATGTAACTTGACTTAGTTATGGCTTGTGCTTGAGGGGCTAAAAATAAATGTGTCTTTCACTCCTGGACTGAGGTGCATTGCAAACTTTGTAGCACTCTCCAAGAAGTGTCTGGAATCATGAATCAATCATACTTATATGTATATATATATATATACACACATATATATATAACCTGAGAAGCCAATGGAAAACAATATAAAAAGGACAGACTGAAAGGGTGCCTGGCGTGCCCTCATGCCCGTGCATTGTAAAGCTGCTGCTATTGCTTAATGGTCATTTTTACGGACCGGAAATCTGCCATTACATATCTCAATGTATCAAGGTCACCAGCCAGAAGCTTAAGGAAATAGGATAAAATTATGTCGGAGTGAGCATTTAAATACATCTGTGCACATATGTGTATATAAAAGAATGCATGGGAAGATAAAGACCAATGTTTCAATGCATATGTCTATTTAATTCCACACACTAACAAAGCATCGCAAAAATTACAGACAAATTGCAAATATGTTCCTGCAGAACGAAAACAAGTGAAGGGAAGGGTTCTTAGATTAATGCATGAACAGCTGCATCCCCAGTTCAGTCTCCTAGCTGGTATGAATAATGGATGGGCTAAGAGGCAAAATGCAACAATAATGTTCTTTTATTAATGAAATGAATATATATCTGTATTTGGTAGCCAGCAGTAAATTAAGACAAGTGAAAAGAAAAACAGGCACTGCTTGCTTCATAAAATGCTGTTACTTCAATCCAATAATTACTGACCTGACAGAAAATATCTCCCCACAGCTAAAATAAGGTGCTTCCTTCTGCAAATCCCACATGTATATCAAAGCAGCTGTAGTTTTTGAATGTCTGTTCATAAACACAGACTTCCACATCTTCCAAGAGTAAAAGAATTTGTATGGAGCAGGAGTCCTGCAACATCATGAATTAGAGATCAGGAAAATGATGTTCCCTATGGTAAAATCCTAGAAACTTACTATATAGATGACATATTACTATATAGATGGCAGAAACAATAATTTTAAAATCATGCTATATTACTTCAAATGAAATGTATTTCCAAAAAAAAAAAAAAAAAAAGGCTTGTTAACTATTTGGTACCGGGTGTCAGGATTACTAAATGTTGATGCAAAATACATTAGTGCTTAATGAAGTGCTTCAGACCCATCAGCACCAAACTATTAAAGGCAATCCACTTATCTGCTACTGGATAAGAAGCTCTACATTTCCTCATATGGATTGTAAGAGGACAGCCACATAGCTTAAATAAGAACACCATACTTACATTTTAGTTGCCATTATTATCATACAGTGCTCAAAGTTCTCACTCTCTCACCTCAAGCTGAGAAAAAAATGTCAAAATGTGATAATGAAAATCTGGGCTTTGCAGCCCTCTGAAGCATAAGTGCACTTCAGATCCTCTTATTATTTATTGAAGGAGTAGCTTAAAGTAGAAATGCCCTGAAAATCCATAATGGACCAGTTCATGCACTGGTCAACCACCCAGCTGAATGATGAAATAATAAATCTATTAAGCCAAGGCGATGCATATAAAAGGACTTGTTACCAAAATAGCAATAATAATGAGAATGCTGATTTTGTAATATCTCACATGCACAAGAGGGTACAGTAGGTAAGATGACTTACAAAACACATGCAATCAATACTCTGAAGTATATTGCCACCTCCTCTGCATTGCAAAGCATTAATCTAGCATATTTTGAAATTGTTTGGAGGTAAAAAGTAACTGACCTCATTAGAGGAAAAGTAACATCTGTGCAGAATGCAGAATGGCTATACTGAATGGCAGTATGATGGACACTGGAAATGCAAAATACCACTGTAACATTGGGTGAAATAAACCCATTCTTGCAAGTCCAGCAGGAATTGTGAGTGCTCTGTTTGTGTCCAGAACTGACCCATTTTGCAGTTCTGACATGTTAAAACACAGATGTTAGAATACAATCCATGTATTTTTGATTTCATTAGATTAGTATTCCCTTCTTTGACTCACACATTTTTGTTAACCTTGTTGGGTGAGAAAGGCACTGTCTCAGCACAAGAGAGTAAGCATATGCTGCCACCAAGTCTGCCATGGCTTTATAGATAAAAGTCAATCAGACCAAATTCAAGGGAGACTTTAGGTAAAAATGTAAAGAAAAAAAGTCTCAAAAATATCTCAGGAAGTTTTTGAAGGATTAAGAAGCCAAAAATACTTGGTCCTACAAACTGTAGCATAAAGTGCCTGATTAGGTAGAACCATCAGGGTTTTTTGCTTCTCTAACATTTTTGGTTGTTGAGGCAAGAAGTGCCTTTACATATATTTAAACAAATAGCCCCCAAAGCTTCCTTAACAATAGTAGAAATGCAGTATCTGGGATTTTATTTTTAAAGGCATCTTTAAAATGATGTCATGATATTTAATTGTCTAACTAGTTTTGCAGTTTCACAATTTTGTCCTTAAAAAAAAACAACAAAACTCTAGGCTAAACTTTAAAAAGAATCTTTTATTCAAGAGTATTCACTTCTGTGTAACTTAATTTTAAATACTTTTTTTTTTTTTTTTTTTTGCATATACGTTTACCATTCTCATGTACCAGGCTTTAAAAATAAATTTTGAATTTAATACAAGCATTTTTATTTATTCGGCCAGAAATGTTTAACCTTCTCAGAGGAGAGTATCTATTACCACAGGATGATGTGATGTGGTTTAAACTTTAAATAAATGCTTATTTCCTGTAAGCATAAAAAAATCTTTTAAATGGAAATCTGTATTTTATAGAATGGTAATATATGCCATTCTTTTCAATTTTCACACAGAATTACATACTGTATGCAGTATATTCACTGTGTGTAAAAGATCTAGGTATTCTTCTGTTTCACATTAAAAAATAATCAAAAACTGAATTGGTTCAAGGCTAAGAAACATTGAAGGCATTGAAAATACTAATGAGAACTCTTAACCGAAAGATTAACAGTAAACAAAGAAACTCTCAGCAGATGATAAGTGTTGGATTTTGTAGCAATTATTTAAAATACAGGGATGAACTTATCAAAGTTAATTATTTTACCCACTTAAAGTAGTGCTCTGTAGGTTCTGGACGCAGAAATAATAGTTCAGCAACTTAGCCTAACTAAATCCATTTGCTATAGTAGCTCTGTACTCTTGTCCATCTTTCTGTCTCTATTACATCATTATTGAATGCTGATTGCATTATTTTAGAGCATGGATTGCTATAATGCTATTCTGCACTGGTATGATGGATTTAGTTTTCATTTTGTTCTCAAAAATATGTTGGCTATAAATGCATCTCTGCTCTCCTATGAGGCTCACACTATAACTGGTACATTTTCTAGAGAAATCAGTCATGTATATCTCAAGAGAAAACAATAAATCCTTTGAAGCAGAGTAACCTTTTGGCTGCATTTTTTTAGATGGAGATTTTCATACTAGGGAAAAAAATACAAGACTTAACAGTTAAACCTATTCAGTTCTCAAAGTTACCTTTGCCTGCAGTGCCATGACCAGATATTTGTTTCCATTTTGTGGGTCATCTTACTAGTCACCTGCCTTTTTCCTTTTTGCTTTTTTGTAAACAAATCATGGGTCATATTTTAAGAAATCAACACTGCTACAGAAAGCAGTTAACTATGCGTCAAAGTGCTCTTGCTGAATCAAGGCCATCCCGTTGAATTTGTAATTTTACAGTGCTTTCAGGGACTGCAGTCTAATGCCCTGTAATCAGGAAAATAGTGAAATCCAGTCTCATGTTTGAAGTCAGACTTGGACTGCCCTTACCTGGGTTGCAGTTTCACCTTGTAAATGTCTCAGACAAAGCAGAAGAAAGGTTGTGGCTAGAAGTTACAGCCATCTTATTAAGAATTGCATTTTCAACAGTAGCAGAAAATGATCCAAAAAATTAAAGCCCATCAAGTAAACATTCTCCTTCCCCGCTTTTGGATTTGCCATCCATATCTGGACTCTAGATTAAAATTAGCAGACTATTTAATTTGATAGACCTTGGTTAACAGGAAGAGACAGGATGGTCAGGCTTAAATGGGTCTCTCCATCAGAGCTCTTCAGTGTTCTCCCTAAGAACATCCATTGAGTGGCATGAGGAGGTGTCGAAGAGCTGGGCTAGCTCCCCTCAGTGTTTGTTTTTCCTCTCTTGTCTGACAACTTCATCACAATCCATCTTTGTTAGCCAATTGCACTGATTTGAACATGGGTGAGTGTGTATCAACCTTCATTAGGTCAAATCAAAGACAAACATATATCTCTGCCTTGCCTGTAGAAACAGATTTATACTTTGAGAAGGGTGGGGGGAAGGTCAGTTGGTATTTGGCTTGAAACCTGAATCTATTAAAGTATGAAATTAATAGCATCCAGAAGTAGAACATATGGCATCCATATATATGGTACTGTATCTACTTGATGATGTCACACTTACCTCTTAAGGTTTGGGAAATGCACTTTTTAAAGCATTTAGCTATGTTGTGGGCTAAACCTTTCAGACCTGACTGAATCAGAACAGGTTTAATTTGGTCTGAACATTTATTATCCCTGGTATTTCCAGGCCACATACAAACTCATGGTTTTCATTAGCTTTGCATTTCACACACAGCCTAATTTCATTTATTCTTATTTTATGCCCCTGCCAGACCACCGCTCTTGATAAGGAGAGGCAGGTTTTCCGACGAAGACGCAACCAGGATGTGAGGGGACGATACAAGGCACAGCAAGCTCCACCTGAACTCAACTCCGAATCGGAAGACTATTCACCAAGTTCATCCGAGACTGTTCGCTCACCTAATTCACCCTTTTAATAAAACACTTTTACTCAAAAGTCTTGGCTTTAACCCTTTGAGACCCTGAAAATCCTTCAGACCTGTGTGAGGTGATTACATCCGATCTATCCAGCACTACCTGCTGGGATGTTGGAACACAAAAGGGTGCTTACAGAATCTTTGTAAGAATAATTTCCTAATTGATTGAAATACTTGTTCTCTGTTTAGATTGCAACTTGCTGCTAACATGATCCTCAAAGGGTTAAGGCTATTTTGCTTTTTTATTTCAAGATAGAAGCAGTGAATGTTTTCATCAGTGAAGCTAGGAACTGCAGTATGTAATTTTAGCACATGTTAACCCTCTGAGTAAATGATCAACTTAAATCTTGACAGCCCACATTAGGGCTTTATTCTGGCTTTTTTGCTTTTATACGCACATATCTTTTATGGTACCCTAAAGTTCCTTGCTAGTTTCTGGCCAAAACAATATCTAACACACTCTTGCTTACAGGCTTTAAAAATAAAAATAAAGTGAAATCAACATATCTTCCACTGCAGCTCATTCTAAACCTGCATTATACGTCCATAGAAAATTGACTGTTGTTGGAAGATACTGTGCAGAATAAATGGGAAATTCAGTTCAGGGCAGCCTCAAAGTTTACAGAAGATGACATGATGATGGCCACAAAAGGTTGCTTCCATATTGTTTACTACTAATGACAATGCAGTGTCTTGGGAAATGGCTTGAGGATATGTTCTGTCATGTAATGGTATGTAATGATCTGGCTGAGAAGTTCCTGGATCTTTTGCCTCACATTCAAAAATGTACAGACATCCTCTCAGCATTATCTGATTATTCCATAGATAGCCACAGTTATTGATGTGGCAAGAGTTAAAGATTAAAATTGAGAATTACCCTTAAAATAGCTAGATTATTTCTAAATTGGGGAAGACAAAGTCATTTAATATATATGTAAAGCCTAACCTGCATTAGTGAAAGTTTTGTCTGAGAGTGGATAAACTAAAAGACTCACCAGTTATATTTGTAATATTTCATAAAATGGGCATTTACACAAAATATACATATTTTCCATTTGTTAAAACCTTAATATAGCATTATAGCATTTAACTATAATCATAAAATTGGCTTCCACAGAAATAGTAAGCTTCATAGACTTTTGCTTCAAATGTGATAGTTTGAAAGAAAAATGATTATAAATTCACTCAAAATTCCACTGGAATGAAAAATGCAGCTTCCAAAATCCTATTCTAAAATAAAATAAAATAAAATAAATAATAATAAAAAAAAACATTAAATTTATACTTTATCTTATTGCTCACATGAAATTGACGATATTTCATGTTTTCCTCTCTAAAGTTAAAATTTTGTCATGGTGTTTTTAGAGTCATAAAAATGTGGTTTCCTCTTTCTTCCTACCTCCTTCCCCCCTTTTTTCCTCTTTCCTTGTCCCTTTCTCTTTCATATCTTAAAAATAGAAATATCAATATGCTGCCCAAAAAGATATGCAGACTTTGCTGATCTTGCTGGGAAGTATAAATAAAGTTTGGAGGAACAGGGCAAGTTGCCTAGAGCGCAGTTTCTGTTCTGAGTTGTGTTTGTACACGGACCTATCACTATGAGCAGTTGTGGTACTGAACTTGCAGCTTGTTGGATCTGGTGTTAATGCTCTTTTGCATTTCTAGTTGCAAGTATCAAATGAATTGTACTTTAAAAAACATTGAAATTGTTTTGTTTCTCCACCCTTTAAAATGCATCTTTCATTGCCTACATCATGAAAATTTGTATATTAAAAGCTTTGAAGATTTTGGATACAAGAATTTCATCTTGTGAATCTTCACACAAGTGATACAAGTATTTCATACAGAATGCAATTAACTTCACCCAATGTTAAACTAGAAGTGAGATATTTAGTGTTAATTAGATCTCCAGACTTCTTGGCAATACAGGGAGATAAGCATTTCCAGGTTTGATTCATCCCATCTGTCATGGGCACACATTTTAGGAAGGACTCATGCTTTGATTCACCTATTGCTCCCGCTCCTTTGAGTATAGAAGGAAGCACTGATAGAAGCTTACATCAGACACTAAACTTCACATGATTGAGTTTACTAGGTCGAATTGCACCCTAAGTCATTAGGAGACTGATCTCTGAATACACACCCACAGGCAGAAGCCCAGTGCCGGCACATGGGCTCAGTTATTCTAGTTGGAACCCGAATAACAACATTTTAACCTAAGTGAAGCAAATAGGTGTCTTGTTGGAGAACTCCACAGGTGCAAGAGGTGAAGGAATAAAGGAACTGCCATACCTAAGTCTTCAGACTTTTGGGTTTGGGAAAGGGCTGCATTTATGCATTATCCTTGATCATGCCCATCCAACTCTAGAGTCCCTTCAGAGAGAAGTCCCTTGGTTGATAGGGCACAGCCACTGCCATTGTGATGTTAATGGCCATAGTTTGATAACATTTGGATAGGACAGGGATCATTTTATCATGGGACCAAACTCTCTGCTAAGGTAAATTCTCACTTGCCATTTACTTATCTACATCACTTTTTAGTAGGTCAGGATCTGGCACGTGTTTTTCCAGAATGGTCCTTCCCACATCGTATTACAGCTATCCCTTTAGAATAGATGCAGCTCAACCATGTAAATGCTAGACACACATTTGGTAACAAAAAGCTGTCCATTAATACCACATGCTCCTTGACTGCTGGGAAAATTTGGCAGGCTTAAAGCAAAGGCTAATGGTCATTCTTCTTAATTAGAGAGGGAGATCGGGAGAAAAAAATAATATAAAAACACATTTCACCTTACACAGGAGAAATATTATTCAAAAACCCATCTGGGATTTTTGTATCGCCTTTGCTTTGCTTTGGAATACAGGGTTGTCATTAAAATAAGATGTTTGGCTCCTTCATCTTACACCATCTTGCACTACTTAAAATGTATGTAGAAATAATCCTAGATCCTGAAATCCCTACTCATCCCCAGCGTCTTCTGTGTTTCTGATCTTTGGTTCATGTTTTATGAACATAACTATAGAAATATTTATTTTAAGTTATTTTAAGGTCTGTGAGAGATTGAGTTTCAGACTGCTGATAGCCTCTTTTTAGGCTTCAAGGAAAAGTGTCTGAATATTTAAACTGTTTTAAAAGAGGTTTTCATGCTGGTTTTAAATATATTTGTATATATTTTAAATGTAACCATATATATCTATATATACGTATGGTTTTGTGGATATAGTAATGGTTCAGGCTTGTTTGCTAGCATCTGCCCCTCTTCTTGTGTAACCTCTAAATTTCTGGGGTAAGTGAAGGCAGAATACATGGCCTAAAAATAGTTGAAACACTATTGGGAAAAGAAAAAAGAAAAAAAAAAAAAAAAGATAATAATCAAAGAATCAGAATATTTCTAATGTGATAAACTGAGAGACAATATAGCACACCTTGGTCATTTTATTGTAACACATACCAGTTCTCCTGACTGCTTCCTTCATTTCACTTTTGAATCTTCTTTGCATCGTATTGGTGCTAAATGTGATGAGTTTTGGTATTTTTTGTTTCATTGGTTTTGTTTTGTTTTGAATGCATATTATGTATAGAAGACTAGCTTCCTCCCACCAAGCTTATGTAGTTAACTGAGATGGATGGCAGTCATGGTAGGCACCATCCATCATGAAGGAGATGGAGAGAAGCACGTCCACAGGGTGACTCAGGTCATCTAATATTTGGTCTTGAAATGCCTGTCGGTCTGATCTAAGTACTAACAGGAGAATAGAACAGGATCACTTCCAGCTTCATTCCTCTCAATTAAATGTGAGTGGGGATAACGTGGACTCCACCCTAAGTGCAATATTCCAGTGAGTTTGCACACAGTAAGCAAACTTTAATGTTAAAATGTAGTGATACGTCATAGGTGATAGCACAGTGAAATGGTCCTGAAATGGGCTTCCTCTCATCTAGATGCATCCATCCAAGAGTTAAGCATCTAATCTAAGGCAATCATCTCAGCTTCCCTTATGGTTCCCTTATAGAGACTAGCTTCTCTAGCGGATAATTAAAGTTCTAGGATGGAAGAATTGCTCACTAGATGAGGTGGCTAGCCCGAATATATTTTGAACATGATTTAATAGTTCATGACATAGAAATTAATTTCTCAGTTAAAATTTTCATAGCATTAATGTACAAAAAAAATCCAGAATACCATGGTTATACTCAGAGGGTTAACAGAAAAGCACAAGGCATGCTGATTACATTGGTGTATCCAAACTGCTTTGCTTTTTTAGCCAGTGTTTGCTGATTTTTTCAGAAAATTCTTGAAAAATTTCAAGTTTGAAATAATTTAAGTGTTGTTGTTTAAGGAATTTCTATAACCAAATTAATCTTATTTTTAGCTTAACTTATCACAGGAATAATATGTATCATTGATGCAGTGTAAGTCTGTAGTTCTCAATTTTATTAATTCCACAAGTGATTCCAGAAATCTCTCTTTTTTTAAGTACTTACTCTAGAGCTTACAATGGTGGCATAGGTGACTGAGACTGTCTTTCTTATTGGTAAACAAACAATATTGTAATTTCAAGAAAGTCCTAAGAATCAGCTTTTCAGTTTGGTAGTGTACTAGTTAGGGGAAAGCTATCTATCTCATGACATGCATTGTGTAAATCATCTTTGTAGATGAAGATCGTTCATATTAATGAACACTTTCTTTTTCCTTGACATTGTAGCAGAAACTGTTTACTTGTTAATGAACAACCAATACATTAATTTGCTTCAGACTGTTAGAGGGGAAAGTGAGATTCCAGTCATTGACAATGTTATTGCTTTACAGTAGCCCTCATCTAATTTAAATGTGGTGCATACTACAATAAGCAAAGCCAAACCTGTGAATAAACTCCTGAAAAAGCCTGGTGGGTCTTTATTCAGTTGGGTGCTTGCATACAGTAGTGTGTGACAGCAGGAAGGCTTTCAAGAATTGTTGAAATGAAAGTGATATATCCACAAATAAGAGCTAAATTGCAATCCTTTCCCTATGGGGCATATATGTTTAAAAAGAATAATAATAATAAAAAAAAAAAAAGAAAAGAAAAGAAAAAGAAAAAAGAAAAATTGGCTCAGAGGTTTGCAGCACTACTATATTACCACAGGGCAAGCGCATTAAATCATTGTTATATTTGCTAGCCTGGGGTATATGTTAGAAAATGGCATCTTTTTTATTTAGTCTAGATTGTGGGCAGGGAGAGTTTTCCTAATATTATTGCAGTGCCTGCTAGTGCTGCCATGGTTAAGGCTGTGTTAGTATTTCCATTATAACCTCTTATTCTCAAAGGTTTTTAATTTGATCGTAAAAATTGGCTTCAGGCAGAAACTTGGCATACAATTTTTCAACTCAGAGTGATTCCTTTCCTAAAATACAGGGAAAATCATCTTGACCCCTTCAACATTTATTTTCTAACTGTACACAAACATTCACGTACACAGACACAAATCGGAGCACCTTAAACAAAGGCCAATTTATGCAGCCGATTCCAAATGTGTTATGTTTTCAAGCATATCTTGCAGGCCTTAACTACAAAGCTGACAGCTCAGAACTTTGGGGCATTTTGAAAACCAGGGAGAAAACTCAGTTATCAAGAGCAAAAATGTTCCACATGTGGGACGGTTTTATTTCAACGTGACGAGCATTTAAAGCCTGTGCAGTAATGGGGTTGTATATATACCCCGCCGAGTGCTCATGTAATTCCTAAACCCATTAGTGTAAGTCATTCCACGTAGCAAAAGCTAAATGTGAATAAGCTGAATTTCCCCATAGCCTTGGGAGAGGAAGCAGTTTCATCTTGTGCTTTAGAGTAGCACCATGGACAAAGCTGACATGCCACCAGCCAAAAGTGTCCAGAAAGAAAAGAATCAAAGGAGCATGTTTTCTCTTAAAGGAAAAAAAATAATGTCTGAATAAGACAGGGTTGAAAGCTCACACTGAATAAGAGAGGTATTAAAAGCATTTTCAAAAGCAAAAGTATGGAATCATGCAACTATAAAAGTGCAAGGAGCCACTCAGTATAATGAATCCATGTGCGGAGCCAATCAGCTACTAATCTGGAGCAAATTTACAGCTACAAACAGACATAATTAATATACAAATCAAGCACACCCAGCGGCAGATGGAATTGAAATCCTAGTTCTTTTAGCAAACATAATGCAGACCTCTTCCTCGTATATTCACTAAATGAGACCGTGTGTAGCTGTTTGAAGTTGTGTTACATACAGGCTGGTGGGGAAATTAGGTGTTCAAAAAATGACTGTAAATTAATTTTTTTTTTAATACCAATTCCACAGCATGCTTCTACCTTAATGGTTCCTTTTGGAAAATGACAGCTTTCAAAAGTGATGTCTATGCATTTTTTACTTGTCTGCATATATACTTGGATAGCCCATGCCAAACACCTTCAATAAAAACTGAGTTGCCATACTGAGGCTGCGCTTTGTATTACCTGCAATTTTCTGTGGCTGTGGCCAGGGAAAGGACCAAAACAGTCACAAAATAAAGAGCCACAGAGTGACCCACCTGTAATGCTGATGTCTACATAATCCTTCCTAGTGACTGACTTGGAAAAGAGTCATGAACTGCAAAGCCAGGTTATTTCTGATAATGTTTGGGGAGGGAGTGTTGGGGAGGGCTTGCCTTGTTTTTTTGTTGTTTTTTTTTTTTTTTTCCTGCATTCACCTGCTAGGGTACCCAGCACCTACAAAATGAATTGCCTGCACCACCAACGTGGCTACATGTTCTGTCAAGCCACAAATAAATGTCAGATTGGGAAAATCTCTCCTTACGTTATATAACAGAGCTGGGAAAAAAAAGATGGGTAGAAGTTAGCCATGATGAATTTAGACTGGCATTTTGAAGATGGTTACTGACTAACAGATCAAACAGATTTTAGAGCTTTTTTTTTTTTTTTTTTTTTTTTTTTTTCTCCAATAGGAGCATTGGAGTCAAGAAACTGCAATTAATTTTCAGGTGGAACTTGATCTGTTTATGAGAAACTTGCTTCTAGAGGTGTTTCTGATATATCCTAGTATGTGTTTTCCTGTTGTAGGAATAGATTGGACTCAGAAACTGAGAAGATACCTTGTATTTTTACATTCCTAACAGGTTTTAAAGCTAGCGATGAGAGTTATTCATACACTTTTAATTTTAAGTGCTTGGAGAAAAGAAAGAGGTGGTGATAAAGAAGTCTTACTTGTCCAGAATTACTCTCAAGAAGAACTGACATTATAATTACATCTGTTACTACTACTACTACCACCATTGCCATTCCGAGGCAATGACTTTTTTAACCTTGGCATCCCATTAGGTACCGGTAATGCTGTTAGCATCTGCTAACAGGACAAGAAGTGTCTTGTATGAATAACAGCACCTATACATTTATTAAAGCAAGCAAACAAGAACAAAACAAAGAAACAAAAAAAAAAATAACAACAAAAACAACAACAAAAACAGGATGCCAACAGCTATTGAAGCTGGGGTCCACAGTACAGTGAGATTTTGAGAACTGGTAAGAATGAGAAAGAAGATTATTTGCAAAGACGCAATAGATTGAATGTAACATGGAATTGCTGGTTCTGTATCTTGCAAAGGAGAGTGATACGACTTTTTTTCTCTTCAGCAAATCCAAGCATATCAGAGAAGGCAAATAAGCTTTTAAGATACAAATTAAATTTCTGACAATTTGGTGTTCATGAATCTTAACTAGGTGTAGTCTTTGTGAAATTTCTTTGTTAAATTACTTCTGTGTAGTTGGGAGTTAAAACTTAAGGTGGGTGACATCAGATCTTGACAATTCCTGTCATTGATTTTTCAGGGGTGGGAGGAATCGAACTGACTGATGCTAAAACCAGAAGTAGTTTAGGAGAGGCATCTCCAGAGAGAATGGGAGGAAGGGGACTCCCAAGTAATTCCCATAGGCCAATTTATCACTTGCCATTTTTGCTGATCTTTGGTGTCTCATCTGAGGGAAAAAATATTACTCAAGCTGGTCCAAGGTTAAAGACATATCCACTATAACTTATTTTTTATTTTATTAAGAAATTAATAATAACCTTTTATATTCTGCCTGAAAGAAAATTGTTAAAGGATTAGTTGAGTGTGAAATTAAATAGAGCTTTTCTCATGCATGCTAAAAAGCTATCCAATGAACTGGTTGCCTTTAAACAAGTTTCTAAATAATTTCAATTTAGCAAAATTTTTGTTTCCTTTGAAAAAAATAAGAAATTCATTAATTGCCATGTGGTTTGAGTGACATCTTTAATTTTCAAGATACTATATATATTTTCTAAATGATATATAGTGCTGCAAAAATCAGGAGGGAATACAAGTGATATTTTTCACATCTTGCCATTTATGCTAATAAATGTGACTGAGCAGGAATAAGGTCCAATATTATCACCTTATCTTATTAGTTAAGTTTTTAAGAGGTTACTTAATTTTATTTAAAATGTTTGCTCTAAATTGGTAATTAAACAACAACAGCAAACAGAAAAGGACAAATCACTTAATACTTCAGCTGTAGTCTCAACTTCTAATGAGCTCGTGTTTCCTGAGCAGAGAAGCATTGCAATATATTTCAATTCAGTCATCACAACCAAACCACTAAGGACTTATGTAGAGCTGCATTCCTGAGAGGCTGTGCACAGGCTTTAAAAATTAGTCATGCAGCCACATCCTAGCTTTCCCACATAAACCTCTGCACTGACATGAGTGAGTTTTGATAAGCATGATTTTTTTTTTCAAAAGAACTATTCAAAAAATTTGCACTTCATGTGTTAATTTCCCAGCACAGGAAGTGAGTTTGGGTAAGCACATGGAAATCAAATATAGTTGTGGACTGACAGCTTTTGTATCTGGTGCCCTTCAACACTATACATACCAGCTCTCATGAGAAATGTGAATACTGTTTTACAGTGGAACCCAGCTAAATCCCACTAATGACTGGAAGATTCATTGTAAACGGCTGGATTTGGGGAATTAGCAGGTGAATGAAGAAATACGATAAAAGACCAGAGGATAATGCACTGCATAGTGTACTTTTTCATTTGTTCTGACAATTGATTTAGTTTTAATTTCATACTTCATACATTATCAGTAAGTGCTGGAGTGTAAAAGCTACAAATAAAGAGTCTGAGTAATATGAAACCCCACCAGGGCTCTCTGATTATTTTTGCTGAAAGGCAGAAAAAGTGCCATTTTATCTAGGTTGATAAAAGCATGTATTTTATCCTCCTCTCATTTACAAGCTAATAGTTGCTATTTAACAGCTGGTTCATAGAACCGTTCTTGATGGGGGAGATAACTGCAAAACTAGAGACTCAAAATCAGTCTGTCTAGAAGATGAATGTGTATCTTCACAGGGACTATAAAGAGACAACAAGGTCATAGACACGTGGTACCACAATTTCCCTTTTGGACTTCCCAAAGACTGTGTCTTACTGACAGCACGCGTTTTTGGCATGGTGAAATGAAGGCTAGTGTTGCAAGCCCACCTCAAACCTTCATAGACCTTCATTGTCTTCAAAATAAACATTCTCCTTCTTCTCTACCCCATCCCATACACCTGCAGCCCCTCCAGGCCACTCATTTCCTTCTCCTTCCTACACACCCCTTCTCTTGTGCAGTGCATGTTGTACATCCAGGTGGTAAAACCCATCAGAGAAACTACTCCAGGGAAATAAAAGAGTTTTACTTTAACCACCTAGTTCTCTTAATTGCTTCAATGCACCAGCACGCAAGTAGAAAGAGTGTGACAATGTGGCTGCTGCTGTGGGAAGGTGGGACTGCTTTCAAGAGAAGTGGTGGCTTCAAGTGTAGATGTGAGTAAGGGACAAAGGCCAATAAATGTTTGTTGTTGTCTGTT